GCCGAGGCTCAGGACAAGAGGAAGCAATATGACCTAGCCCATCACAGTTGTAGCACCTGGTTTGTGAGCAAGAGGTCATTGAATGTCCCCGTTCCCCGCAGCTCTTGCAGGGATATCTCGTTCCTGCCTTTCCTTGGGGTTTTGGGCTCTCCTCCTGGTTTTGAAGATTCTTTATTTCCGTCAGCAATTCCCTTTTTAATCCATGTAAGAGCTTGGTGAATTCAGACGAGTCTTCTTCCACCGTCGAGATTCTTTGCTCCTTAGTCCTCCCTTTGAGCCCCTGTCTTATCCTCTCAGACTCTTGATAGCTCTCCTCTCTAAGAGCAATCTCAATGCTCTTGTCTAGAGTGGATGGCTCCTTTCGGTGTATGGCTCGCCTTAGCTCCTCATCTGGGATTGCTTGTTCAAAGCTCCTGCGAGCGAGCCTATCTTGAGCATCCCGGCTCATTTCCGGGTATGCCATGGAGGTCAGTCTTCGTATGTGTTGCCCTAGACTTTGCAAAGATTCTCGGGGCTTTCTTTTTCGACTGCACAGCTCAGCCTCATACACATCTGCCTTGCCGCCTGGGCCGAACCTCTTCTCCAAGGCTTCCAGTAGGTCTTCATAAGAGTAGCCCCTCTCTAATTCCAGGACAATCTGCTGGGCATCCCCTCTTAAGTTGGTGGCCAAATACTGAGCCTTCTCTTTGTCCGTCCAGTTATTATTTGCCACACACGTCTGAAAATATGCTTTGTAATCTGGCCAGGGATTCGATCCATCGAACGTTTGTGTAGGCTTAATCCTTGTATTTCTCCCAGTATTTGACGATTCGACTACCTTTCCGCAAATTTCGAAAGCTTTCTGAGCCATTTGCAGAACAGAATCTAGCGCCGAAGTATCAGAGGCATTTGAAGCTTCTTTATTCCGACTCTTCTTACCTGGAGACACATCAGGCTCACAGCCTTGTTCTTGCCCCTTGGCTCCCGTTACTGTCTCTTCTGGAGTAGCTCGGGCTGTCTCATTATGGGAACTGCGAGATGGTAGTTCCAGGTGTGGGTTCGCCATCATTGTGGCCTGTTTCAACTCAGGTCTGTACCTTGGCTGAGGACTTTCTTTCACCGCTGTTTTCTCTGCTCTTCTACTCGAAGAAGTAAGTTTCGGCACAGCTCCACCCGACTCTTTGCTAACCTCAACGTATGACAACATGGGATCTGGATTTCTCTGCATTCCTTTTACAGAGCAATTACTCCCCCCTTCCAGATGTGACCTATCCTCCATCGGATGAGCTTGATATCTCATTCCAGGAGGAGGCAGTGGAGGCTCTCCAAATGTGGTTCTCTTCTCCCAAGTGGAGCGTACAGGGCCATCTTGCTGACAGGCAGTTTCCTGTTCCTGCTTTACCCGTCTCTCATGAACCAAATATGGAGGCAGCCAACCTCCCGCCTCCCCGGGGACTGGCTCAAACATCATTGGTGTGTCTTCTCTATGAAATTTAGCTTCTAACTGTGCTTGCCCACACTCACGGGGACTTATTCCTCTGTAACTTGAATGTGACTTAAGTTGGTGCTCTGTGATGGGATCCTGGTAGATCTGCCACTCCTGTGCCATCGGGTTAACACTACTCCCCCGAATATGTTTCTTCTTTATCTCCTCTGGTGGGGATCTTGACTGCTCCATAGTCTTGGCAATGGATTGCAGGGCTCCATGCACTGAACTCAGCCCAAGGGAGAGATCCTTTTGAAACGTGTTAAGACCTTGGCTCAAGTCTCCCCTTAACGTCTGTTGCTCCCTCCTCAGTTCATGTACACATTCTCCCTGCTCTTTCACACTGCTCGTCAGCAAAGTTGTTTGGAGCTGCTGTGACACCAGCTCCCTCTGCAGTGTGAACAATTCTTCACTCATCCGGCTGACTGGAACCTCCTCAGTAGAAGTTCTTGGCTGATTAATACCATGGGCTCCTCTTGGTGGAGTCGCATAGTTTGGTAGCACCTGCTGCTCTGTTCCTGACCAGTATCCGGTACTCTGCAGCGGAAATGCCCTCTTCGGCCTGTTTGGTGACGGCGTATCTTCCACAGGAATGGTGTCATCCAATACCATGTCATCACCTCCTGGTTGTCCTTTGAAGAACACCGTCTTTTCACCATCTAATTGGAGGTCCATCTCCATGTCTCTATCGGTTTGGAGCTTGCTCTCCACAGCTCGGTTTGTATCTGTGTCTGATGTTGCCATCTTGTGCTCGGTACTATCGTTTTACTTATCCCACTTCTGACACCAATGTCGCGTTCCAGACTTTTGCTGATAGTCTGGAAGCGATGAGTAACTTTTTCACCTTACACTTCTCTGTGGGCCCAGTCCTGGTTTGGTGGACTGGATAAAACGACAGTCACAAATGGCTTCCAATTTAATACATATATTTTAACACAACTATTAATACATGAAAATAACACTCTTTAATGTTCATAAACTAAAATGTCACTATAATTCTCTTTGTAGGATGGATATCGGCGGTTGCTGCGTTATTAGCTCTTTGCTTGGCTCCCTGGGCTCTGTAGCCTGGCTCCTCTGGCTCTTGAACTTGGTTCCTCTGGCTCCTGAACGTGGCTCCTCTGGCTCCTGAACTTGGCTCCTCGGGCTCCTCGTTCAGCTCTTCGGCTCCTAGCCTGGCTCCTCTTGCTCTTGAGCTTGGCTCCTCTGGCTCCTCGTTCGGCTCTTCGGCTCTTAGCCTGGCTCCTCTGGCTCCTCGTCCAGCTCTTTGGCTCTTTAGCCTGGCTCCTCTAGCTCCTTAGCCTGGCTCCTCTGGCTCTTAAGCCTGGCTCCTTGAGCTCCTGAACTTGGCTCCTCTGGCTCCTCGTTCAGCTCTTTGGCTCTTTAGCCTGGCTCCTCTGGCTCTTGAGCTTGGCTCCTCGTCCAGCTCTTTGGCTCCTCAGCCTGGCTCCTCTGGCTCTTAAGCTTGGCTCCTTGAGCTCCTGAACTTGGCTCCTCTGGCTCCTCGTTCAGCTCTTTGGCTCTTTAGCCTGGCTCCTCTGGCCCTTGAGCTTGGCTCCTTTGGCTCTTGAGCTTTCTGGGAAGGCTCCTCACTGCCCGATGCGATGGAAGTCTTCCTGGAACTATTTCTGTCAGCGGTGAAACCAACTGACAAAATTAGCTCACACTGTCTCTTGACTGGACTCTTCTGGCTCTCTAGCCTTGCTCTGCCTCTATGGCTCTTGAGTTTTCTGGGAAGGCTCCTCACTGCCCGATGCGATGGAAGTCTTCCTGGAACTATTTCTGTCAGCGGTGAAACCAACTGACAAAATTAATTCGCCGTGTTGGGAAGTTTCCCAATTTCACCTAACAATAATGCAAGGCTGCTTCCAGGTTGTTCCTTGCTGCTTCCCCTAGGACAGCACTGAACTGTGAAGAATTCTTGACAACACTTTAGGCAATTAATGACAGTGTTGTTTTACATTAAATCTGACAAATATCTCACTTTAGTAAGTCTGGGACACAAAATGGCGACGCACGATAAATCTCAATACCCGTTGAATTATAACTACAGTCAGTCAGAGGCATCCCAGTAGCATGCTGGCCATAAAGTTACAAATTCTGGTACACATGAAATTAAAAATTATAGTCAGTCAGAGGCACCTAGTAGCATGCTGGCCATAAAATCAAATTACAAAAAGGAAAAACCTCACCCGAATAAATGCTTCTTTCTTTAAGTTGCCAAAAATTCAGGTTTTCTCTGTTGTTTCTCCTTCAAGAACCTCCTGGTGCGTCTTCCCGCTTTATCATTCGTTATTAATCCCGAATCCTTGGCAGATGGCTACTCTAAAGTGTGATAAATGTGGATTTCCTCCCAACCTTTGATTCACGCTGCTTCCTTCAAGATGGCGACCTTCCTTCTCATCTCGTGATGGCATGAGTCATACAGGCACAGGTGACCACATTTTGAAATCAGGGGCACTGCAGTGCGGCAATTAACAAAGAGAGTACCCCTCCCGCAATGGACTACTTTATAAAATCACTACGCAATGCGACACTGTAAAAATTCCCCCCCTCCCGCTATGAACTACTTAATAAGATTACTACGCAATGTGATATAATGTAAAAAATCCCCCCCTCCCGGAATAAATTATGGAGATAGGGATTTGGCACTAAACCTGGTTATTTATGCATGTAAGATATAACTGTTATAACATGTAAACAGAATACGAAGTAATATGATACATGAATGACACTACATTAAAGTTTAAGAACTGAATTAGCGCCGAAAATGATCGAAAGTAATGGCGCAGCAATTTCTAGTTTTACCGATAATTTTAATGACGATCTATGAAGAAACTACTTGATCAATTTACAATTGGAAAGCGTCTAATTAAAGATTAAATGTTCAATTATCGAAATATCACTACAAGAAGCACAAATTAGGGCAGGTTGTACTTACAATTGATGAAATCAGTGGACGTTGAACAAATTTGGAATCTTTCGAATCGCAATTACAACTTTTGAACTTCTGCGCATCCCAGTGCGCAGGTTATTAAAAAAGTAAAAGGAGGAGTCCCTATAAGGAATCAAAAATTTCCCACAATATACATAAATTACTTAAGTTTTCAGTAGTCAGACATGCTTGCAAGCAATATTCATTGTGAAAAAACCCACCTACCCAATTTCTGACACACTCGTAATTTGTGAAATAAAAACTGAAATGCGAATTATGAAAGTACATTTAGAATTTCTAATTTATAGCCTTTTTGTTTACCCACACCTATAACTAATTCAGAGGTGGATCAACTTAACGAATATAATCCAGCTAATGACCTTTTATTGCTTATTGCATACGCCTTTTTGTAATATCCGACAAATATTGAAGGAGAATAAATGACTTTTATAAGCTTTATTGATTATAACCAGATATACATTTTTGAATACACATTTCCAGGCCTTGAATACATGGGCTAATGGTGAAAATGAGAAAAATAGACATTCCATAGAGACCAGCGGGCCAAGTTTTCACTTGTATAAAAGCTCTCATCTAATTTAAAAATGATTCAAGAATACCTTTTGTATACTTTGCAAACTTCAAAAAGTAACCACCATGTGAGCTAAACAAAAAGGCTAACATTTATTTAGAAATTCAGAATTTTAAAAATATAAAATAAATTTTATTTTCCCAAAATTTCCAATGAATTTTACATGGGTCCACAAACTCTGATCCTTTGAGAACTAAAATGGTATGCATATGACTGATTTACTCACCCGGTCATCTCCATCGGTGAGGTTAAAGGCCACAGGGTCCCGACAGCGAGACATCTTAGGCGTGTACTGTGTCATCTGGCGACATGCATAGATGGCACACTCCTCATCTATTAGAATGTCTAAGAATCTGAAACAATGCAATATCCAGTTTTCATATTTTGTCTAAACATTTAAAGCTTGGCAATTTATCATTCCAAAATAAACATACAAATGACTTTCCACATAGATCTGAATTTGTGTATCCCTAATTATTTTTCTGGGATTCCACACTTTATATGCTGACTACTGAGCTGTCACTACGAAAAAGAAAGTGTTGGATGTACATGTTTATACCTAAATTCAAAAAATGCAACAATTTGTGAATACCAATTACATGTTTTTATGTATATCTAATTTCATAGATCTAATAGTGGAAAAAAATGCTGTAATTGTTACGAAAAATATTTTCCACAATAAAAATCTCAGATTTACAGTATTGAGGTTTCATCAGCAGCAAGCATTTCGTCTGTTGTCAGACATTATAATGAATAGTGTAACTTCCATTCCTGTGGAAAAACCTTCTACGAATGGGTTCTTTATGTGTTATATTCTGTTAAAAGATACTGATCATCTGAAAGCAAGGGCCTGGTTTTGTGTTAATGTTTTTCATTTCAGTAAAACCCAAATCTCTCATATCAAAAAGAAGCCACAATTGTGAAAATGACCAAAAACAAATTAGAATTGCCATATCGATAACAAATACGGTAATTGTCTTTTTGTGTACAGGAATTTAATCAACTGATGCATGTACATTCCATGTATCATAATAGGTGCTTAACTTTTATTACCAGAATGAAACAAACTGACTGATAAATATCAGAAACCTCAATTTGGCATAGAACTAGCAACTGTAAAATTGCGTAATGAACCAAGACAATAGCAGTATTGTGTTCATGGACAAAGGAATTTCAACCACATCGAATGGATTACTGAATAATTCCAATGGTTTAGGCATAGCTAAGAAATTACTGAGAGACTTCTTGCCACCAATACTTTTAACTCTCGGAACAATCGGAAATGCTTTATCATTAGCGGTACTTTGTCGAAAGAAGTTTCGTAAAAACACCACATCTGTGTATTTAATCACACTGGCCGTGGTTGACATTTTAGCGATATGGTTAGCAGTCTTACCCCATTGGCAGCAAAAAAAATATGTTGATCTCAGGAAAACTGTATTTGGATGCACATGGATGATGTTTCTGAGATTATCTATGACACAGTTATCCGCATGGATACTAGTTCTTGTGACATTTGAACGGCTTGTCGCTGTATTCTCCCCGTTAAAAGTAAAGATCATCTTTAATGTGAAGCGAGCGGTTATTATCCTTGCCATTGTAATTGCTGTAGTTTTGGGTTTAAATATACACATTTTGTGGAACTTTGAGTTGCGTGGAAAAAAACATACATGCAGACCAATATCTTATAAATACTATTTAATGCACGCCTGGCTAGATGGTATTGCAGCAGCTTACATCCCATCATTTTTGATGCTCTCTGCAAATATAGCCATCATCGCGAAAATGCATATGAGAAAAAAATCTGGATCAGGGAACTCTAATAAGATTGCTTCGATGACCATAGTTTTGTTACTCTGCAACTTTTCATTCATTTTCTTGACATTTCCATTTGTGTTGTTTCATGCATTTCACAAGCAGTGGTACAAAAAAGGGAATGCATCAGAAAAAGATCCAGCACAAAAAATACACAGAGACATAGTTCATTTGCTTGCATACTCAAACCAAGGTATCAACTTTCTTCTCTACTGTGCATCTGGGCAAGCATTTAGAGAAGAAATTAAAAAGATGTTTTATGATTGGAAGCGTGCAATCTGTGGAAGAGATAATCGTGTAAGGAATTCATTGGCGATGAACACCAACATTGTAAATACGAGTACCCATTAATGACATTACAAAGATCTTCAAAGATTTCAGTAAAGTCTCTTCTTGAGGACATTTTGTACTTTGATCAATCATCTAAACAATGAATACAAGAAATTGGATGACAAGCATTGGATGACAAACCCAGTTGAAAATATGTGAACACCCTGTCAAAAGGATGAAATATTAGATACTTTGACCAAAACAAGTAGGATTTAGCACCCACTTGAGAGTAAAGCTGGGGAGGGCAGTGATTTTTGATTGATTTCTATGTTGTACCTATGGAAAGCTGATGCATTTTGAAATAGGTTAGCTTGCATCACTATTTGCCGCTGGAGAGTACTGAAAAGTCCATATATGGCATATCATGTGACATTTAACTATTTTTGTGAACAATCAAGTAATTGTGTTCTTTATGGGAATATCAGAATTATTATAAAAAATGGTAGAAAAAGCAATATCATATGACGTGTGTTACCTTTTAAATATACAGTGATTAACAGTCATATCAATATACCGCATCACACATTAATTAATTGCAACTCTAGAGACAGACAAATGACATTGGAAAGCATATATATATATCTTATATATCTTTTATAACTACCATGCAAATATGGCAACACCATATTTTACCTACTTTATGGACAAAATGATTTTTACAGAAAACATTTTTCCTATGGTGTAATCATATTAATAGTAATGATTGATATGAATGATATTTTGTACAACAGTCAAATAAGAACTTCAGAATGAACAGTTTTGTTAGAACAATTTCCAGATAAATTAATGATATCAAATATTTTTGAATGGATACATTGATGTTAGACTTATTGTAGTAATAAATCGTAAATATTACGAATAATTGATGATTCTGTATTTATTTCAAAATACCTTGTAATTTCTACAACACTATGCAAAACTAAGGTTTCCAGTTTGCCTTATCAACTGGTCATACTCTCTAAAATAAAGTATCATGACTTTTTTGAAAAAGCTGACCTTGTTGGTCTTTTAATTTTCAAATATTTGAATTTTTCTCCTTTAGATCATCAAATATGACACTATTCTTGTAAAACTCTATTAGATCGATCAAGCAAAAGTTACATTATTTCAACCAGTTGATGTTTGAAATAAAATAAGTATCTGTCTGCTTTTAGAGTGTTGTACCATTGTTTTAGATATTTGGCTAATATTGCTCATTTGAGCCTAGCCAAAGTGTAATTTTAGTATTATCAATTTTTTGAAATAAAATAATTTGTGGATGGATGGGCCCAGAAAAAAAGTGGGCCTTTGGGTCATTATTAGGCCTCCTTTTTTAATTTTAGGCCAAATTTGGGAGAAACTTGGGCCAACTTTTTGGTTTTAGGGGCCCAAAAGTTTACGCGGATTTTTTTTTATTAAATCTGAAATTTGCCCCACCCCCTTTGTTGGTTCCCAGATGCGCCCTGCAAATATTAGCTTTTTGATTCATGGGTCAATTTCTAGGTTCTTTTTCAGGATGTATCCCTTGCAGTAGTATAACACTGTTTACTCCCAGATGCAGGTTGTACCCAAAAGAAACAATATATTCAATCATTTCAGAAATCAAAATCACATGTCACATCCTGATAACATTAGCCAAAATGGTATAAACTTTCAAAGGGGCCTTTGAGTGAAAAAAAGATTTTGATTTTTATGATTGTTTTATATCTTCGTTACGTTATATTTTGGTGAGCAATACCTCATTGGTATATTCCATATTTTTCGTATTTTACACTCAAAAATAGAGTCAGAAATTCCTCCTTGGAAGAGCCCAGCACATTCTTTTATGTGTACTGGTACAAAGACATACAAGTACACACCACAGCCTTTTATATGAGTTATGGGCAATTCTGTCAAACACCAAGGATAACATAACACACAATCAAAGTCTGAACCAGGAATCAAAGCTTGGGCCAAGTGATAGCAACATTAACTCAGCCTATTAACCATAGCCACACATTTAAGAACTTGGTAAGTTTGATAAATGTGTCAAGTCTTTTTAAATATCTATACAAACCATCGCCTAATTATTATAGTAAGTGGAAGTGCCAAATATATTGGATTTGATGTGCTGCTGTTTCAAATTGATTCCAACAAAAATCATAAAAATACAAAAACATACTTTATCCTATATCTAGTAACCCATTCGAAAACAATTAAACCATTTAACATAGAAAAGAACATTTCTTAAAATCCTCTGTGGCTTAAAATATCAATTAATTAATTTCTTATCTCTGAAAAGTCAGAAGAGGAATCTCAATACAAACTGGTGTATATAATAAATAATCATACTTATTCTTAATGTTGAGTTCTACTGAGCCAGCAATCTGTTTTTCTAGGTCACTCAACAAAGTCTGGAAGTCTCCTGCAGTAGTGGGGTCGTTGTCTCCAGATTCTTCAGTCTTTATTGACACTGAGTCAGTGAAGACTTGGGGTTTAACAACTACTGGGGTTAATAATTGGGGTACTGGGGACATATACTGCATGAAGGGGACACCAGGGCTGGGCATAGTTGGAGTGAGGAAGTTGGGTGTGGCTTTGTTCTGAATGGGTGTTGGTTCAATATGAGTGGGAGTGGCTTGTTGCTGGGTAGGTGTGGCATGTTGCTGAGTGGGTGTGACTTGTTGTAGAGGGGGTGGTGTATTTGAGTCCTCTGGTATGATTGACATTTTGGGGAAAGCTGAAAGACTTGACATGAGAGTAGTTGGAGTTCTGTACTGCTGTAGGCCAAGTGCTTTAGCTGAGTGCTCCCCAGGTATTATAGCCAATGATTTATCACTTGTTTGTATATCACATGATTGTTGACGAAGCAACTCTGGTGACTGCATGTATGCTTGATCATTTTGCAGCATTTGTAGGCTGGGTATTTTTGTTTGTGGTGGCTCATTGTGTTCCTCTTGTGCACATGATGCTTCAGTGTGGGTTTGCTGGTGCAGTTGCTGAGCCTGTGACTGCTGAGGATTGTATGTGTGTGCTTGCCTGTGTACTGAGTTTTGAGCTTGTTGTTGGTGCATCATAAGCTCCATTTTGGCTCCTATATCCTGTAGTTGTTTTAGAATCTCACTCTGGTGTGTGATTGGCTCCTGGTTTGTTTGTTTTGATTGATGTTTCATCATGTTTTCAACAACAGAGCTGATACGCTGTACTTCATTGACAATGTTTGTTTGGAAATCAGTGGTTGAATGTGAGTCTATCGTCTCACAGATTGATTCATTTATCCTCTGTTCAATGTCATTCATTTGGTGAATGATATCATCTTCCTCGTGCTGCTCAAGATGTCCCTGGGGTGTGCTTAACATGTGTGCTTGCTGTGCATGGTTTTCTGGTATTGCATTATTTACATTTGTGTAATTTGATGCTACAAAAGCTGGTGTCTGCATTACATTTACATGATTTGGTTCAATTTGATTCTGAAACAGCTGTGGATTTTGTGGTCCTTGCAACTGTGGAATACCATTATTATTTTGTGATCCCTGCAGCTGTAGAATATTGTGATTTTGTGGTTCCTGTAACATGGTGAAAGCTTGCCCATATTGTGGCTGAGTATCATGGGCTCCGTGTAAACCCGTCATCTCATCGTCCAGAAACTCCTGCTTCACCAAACTGATACCAGTAGTTCTTCCACCTGGCTGAAGTTTATGGAGGTTTGTTTTCATGTTTTCATGAAAGTTCAGTTGTTTCACATGTGTATTTTCATATGTGAATTGAGATGCATTTTCCAGTTTAGACTGAGCAAAACTATCCTGTCTAAACTGGGATGGATTATTTTGTCTAAACTGGGGTACATTGTCCTGTCTTAACTGGGGTGGATTATCCTGTATAAAGCCAGATGTATAAGACTGGCTGTACTCAGGTGGAGTCTTGCTAGCTGGTCTCACAGGAGACCCTTTATCAGTCCACCTGAATGGCTGCCCCTCTGTATTAACAACATTGGGGTTTATGTCACATTCACGGGGACTACTGCCGAAGGGACTAAGAGATCTCTTAGGTTGGGTAACGGAGAGGTGTGAGGGCAACTGGTTGGAGGGTTGGATCAACTGGGTGGAGGGTTGGGTCAACTGGATGGAGGGTTGGGTCAACTGGTTAGAGGGACTTATCTTAACAGTCTCCATTGCCTCAATGTCTCTTTCCAGAAGTCTCTCCATTTCTTCAATCTCCTGAAATATGGTTGAAATATATCAATGATTGAAGAATGGGTGACATATTTAAATGATTGGAAATTGGTTGAAGCAATTCAATAACGAAAACATGGTTGAAATATTTTAATAACTGAAACTTGGTTGAAATATTTCAATGACTGAAAATTGGTTGACATATTTCAATGATTGTAAATTGGTTGAAACAACTCAATGACTGAAACATAATTGAAATATTCCAATATAACTGTTATGATTAAATGAATAAACACATAATAATTCAGTAATTATGTAATGATAATAAACCTTCTTTTCTTTAAGTAAACCTCGTAAGAAGAAAAGCTGTAACATAATCAGGTGCTAATGTTACCTTTAGTTTTTTAAAGGCAGCTTCTCTATCAATATCCAAAGATTCAAACATAGGGCTGTTAACTTGATCCTTGCTGTTTTCAACCAGTTCTTCAATCTTTATATCCTGAGCTTTAGAGTCTGTTGAAAGATGTCCTATTTGTGAGACTTTCCTGGCCTGTAGGTTCATTGCATCCTCAGTTTGGTCCTCTCCCTCAAACAACCTCATAGCTAGATTATCCTACAATAACAAGACATGGAGTGGACAAGATCATACCACCAAGCAGGTTATCCTACAATAACAAGACATGGAGTGGACAGGATCATACCACCAAGCAGGTTATCCTACAATAACAAGACATGGAGTGGACAAGATCATACCACCAAGCAGGTTATCCTACAATAACAAGACATGGAGTGGACAAGATCATACCACCAAGCAGGTTATCCTACAATAACAAGACATGGAGTGGACAGGATCATACCACCAAGCAGGTTATCCTACAATAACAAGACATGGAGTGGACAAGATCATATCACCAAGCAGGTTATCCTACAATAACAAGACATGGAATGGACAAGATCATACCACCAAGCAGGTTATCCTACAATAACAAGACATGGAGTGGACAGGATCATACCACCAAGCAGGTTATCCTACAATAACAAGACATGGAGTGGACAAGATCATATCACCAAGCAGGTTATCCTACAATAACAAGACATGGAATGGACAAGATCATACCACCAAGCAGGTTATCCTACAATAACAAGACATGGAGTGGACAGGATCATACCACCAAGCAGGTTATCCTACAATAACAAGACATGGAGTGGACAAGATCATACCACCAAGCAGGTTATCCTACAATAACAAGACATGGAGTGGACAAGATCATACCACCAAGCAGGTTATCCTACAATAACAAGACATGGAGTGGACAGGATCATACCACCAAGCAGGTTATCCTACAATAACAAGACATTGAGTGGACAAGATCATACCACCAAGCAGGTTATCCTACAATAACAAGACATGGAGTGGACAGGATCATACCACCAAGCAGGTTATCCTACAATATCAAGACATGGAGTGGACAGGATCATACCACCAAGCAGGTTATCCTACAATAACAAGACATGGAGTGGACAAGATCATACCACCAAGCAGGTTATCCTACAATAACAAGACATGGAGTGGACAAGATCATACCACCAAGCAGGTTATCCTACAATAACAAGACATGGAGTGGACAAGATCATACCACCAAGCAGGTTATCCTACATTAACAAGACATGGAGTGGACAAGATCATACCACCAAGCAGGTTATCCTACAATAACAAGACATGGAGTGGACAAGATCATACCACCAAGCAGGTTATCCTACAATAACAAGACATGGAGTGGACAAGATCATACCACCAAGCAGGTTATCCTACAATAACAAGACATGGAGTGGACAAGATCATACCACCAAGCAGGTTATCCTACAATAACAAGACACGGAGTGGACAAGATCATACCACCAAGCAGGTTATCCTACAATAACAAGACATGGAGTGGACAGGATCATACCACCAAGCAGGTTATCCTACAATAACAAGACATGGAGTGGACAAGATCATACCACCAAGCAGGTTATCCTACAATAACAAGACATGGAGTGGACAAGATCATACCACCAAGCAGGTTATCCTACAATAACAAGACATGGAGTGGACAAGATCATACCACCAAGCAGGTTATCCTACAATAACAAGACATGGAGTGAACAGGATCATACCACCAAGCAGGTTATCCTTGTCTACTAATGTTTATTTACCTTAGACTTTATTAGGATTAAAGAAGTGTGTTTTTACTAAATCACAACTTTACAGTGATTTCTACAGCATTAAAGCAAGTGGGCGCAGCACCCACCTGAGATTTTGAAAACAGGCTTGCACCCAGTTGAAATTCCATTTGCACCCGCTTGAAAATGAGGAAAATCATGTAAAATTGGCATGTTTTGACCAATTTCTGTCTGAATTGTGAAAATGGGAATTTTGCACCCACTTGAGAAAAAAAACTGTGGAGATCACTGTAATGGTTTTCATGTTTATTGATATAAACATAGATATAGGAGAACCAGAAAATGAGGTCAGTAAAACATATAACAGTAAGAAAGATGAGTGTACCACTGGTTTGTTCTTGATGTTGCTATGGTGTAGAACATCAGACCACCTTACAGCAGAGCAACTGGCTGGCACCTACAACACAGAGAAAGCATATGTATTTTTCCATGAAAATAATATTTCACTGAAATATATTATCTCAAAATCAGTGTGAATTTTTATTTTAAAACTATTCCACTCACAGTTATCCAAAATTTGATATTCTATTCTGAAACTTATCAAAATCTTTAAAAAAACAGAAAGTGTACAACATAAATTATTCTCTGAATGACAAGAATCAAGATATTATTGAATGCCAGGAGTCATCGTATGTAGGAAACCAAGTTAGAATCACAAATAAGGTACAAGGCACACGGCATGATCAATTTCACACCACTAAGTAGCCACTCAATGTTAGAGAAGGTATTGACATGCAAAAGTCACCAAATGCCATTTGTTATAGACACCAACCACCAAACAATGACTGCCACACACCGAACATCCACAAAAAAATTAGAGACTATAACAATATGTCTTGGGGCGTTGACATAATTACCAAACAAAATTTCTCTTGGTTTTGAAGCACAACATCTCTCCCAATCTTGCATATTTTCTAAACATCTCTTACCTTTTGTGTCTTTCTAAAAGCTGGGGATCTCATGGCTGGAGATTTAGTCTGAAGAAGCCGCACTCTGGCTGCCTGAAAATGTAGAATAAAGAGTGATTTACACAAAGTTCAAATTGTGAAATATATATTTTACCTGATGAAAACTCTTGTGACTGAAGAATAATCACAAATCCAAAGGCCCATTTGCCTATCCATCATTCATGAAAATGATTCAAATATTCTTAAAACACTTGAATAAAGGTAGTCATTTCAACCATCATCTTTCCTTCCTATCCACAAAAAAGTCCAGCTGGGAATCATAAAATCCCATTCCTCTCATTTTCATAAACCCTGCTTGAGACAGTATGAAAAGAACTCATACTTACAGTGCCAGGTGTTTTTGGGACTTTCTTTTGATGAGCTTTCTTTGACTTGGCAGTTCCAGCATAGTATATAGACTGTCTGGGCTGCTCCTGCTGCTGCTGTTTTGAGGTACCACCTACAAGTAAGGTTACAATTCACAAACAAATCAAATATGATATCATTTAATGGTTCTGATATACCTATCTACAAAAATACCTGTCTGTGGACAATTCAAAAAGTATAAAACATTAAAAACAACTTTATTGAATGCAAAACTCAGATTTACATCATTTCTATTCTGCATCTTCATCCTGCTTTCTGTTATTTGAAAACTGAGTGAATCAAAACAATTACAGCATTTGAATATGATGTGCCTTACATCTAGCAAATAATTTTAACACCTACCTGCAGCTCGCTCTAGCCCAGGTACTTGCAAGCGTGCATCCAAAGTAGTTCTGGACATGGTTCGACTTTGAATGTCAGTGTATGCACGATTTGTTGTTGTTGTTCTGGTTCCAGGACCCTTGTAGTAGATAGAGGGCCTAAGTCCCTGATTAAAAACATGAAATGGTTTAAGTTATTTGTGTTCATGATATACAGCAACAATCCTTTCTGAAGACCATTACAAAATCATACATACTGAAGGAATGAACATAATAGATGACACGTATGAAAAACGTCTGTCGAAAGTAAGTTTACCAGCAACAATAGAATCTTTGATGTCTTCAGCTGACACAGACAATGACTGAAGACAAATGATCGCCAGTTACAGAATATGAATATTAGGCATAAGGATGATGTCATATTAGGCATGTATAAGAAAATCATATTAGGCATGAGAATGATGTCATACTGTGTGTGGGCTCTTGTGTCTTGCAGCCATTGTTGAGTGGGAGACTGGAGTTTTTGCATTGAAGTTACTTGAAATCCCAGTGTTGTCGAGGATACTTTCCAGGGCCCCAGCATCAGTCTTGAAACCAAAGTCTAAAAAAGAAAGACATGGATTAGATGATGAATTACCATGGGATTAGACAACAGGTGGATAGCAGGATTCTCAATGTTTGGAAAAATGAAAAATCTGTATCATTTTATATTTTCATTTTTGGCATCATACTTACTGACGTAACATAACATAAAATTTTTTCATGCAATCTTAGTTTTTTGACAAGAGCAAAGATTGTGATAATATTGCATATTTGACCATATGAATATATCTATAGAATGAACCAACGGTACCTTCATCATCCAGTGCAACAATAGGTGACCTGGGAGATCTCTCAGATGGTGGTTTGTTAAACTCTGCAGCTAACTCTCCGAGGATCTTTCTCTTCACAGGCCTAGCATGAGATCTGAAGGTACATTATGGACAAAAAATCATATTTTTATGAACATTTTGACACCCCCCCCATCTATATGTATAGTCTAAATACTTTCACTAGAGAAACAGGCAGAGGCCATTCATTAGATAGAACATGATTACAGTTTTGTATTGCGATATTATAGTTTTACAGAAAATAAGTGCGATAAAAGTAAAATGGCCTTAGTGCTCAGCAACTCAACCATGCACAATTTAACAGACGGGTAATGTAAAAGAATGGTCTTAAGGTCCGTTCTGGAGTCCAGAATACAGTATCTAAATGTTAATTATTACAGTATATCTCTGTATTTCCCATTTGAACATGGAGTACAACATTTTTTCTGTTGTTATAGAAGCTTGAGAAAATTGTTCATGTAAAAATTGGTGAGGAACTTTTTACATATTTTCAGAAAAGAAGGTATTTGTCCCAGTCTGTTTAAGATTTCATCAACATTTCATTATAAATCAAAAATATTTCAGGCTTATCAAGGATGGGACATCCAACAGCTCTCAACCCTTTAAGGGGCGGGGTCAAAATATCAATGTTCATATGGAGACGAAAGTAATTTAGTTTGGACAACAACCCCCCCACCCCCCCTCTAGACGAAAGCTTAGGTCACTTCAAAAAAACATTGATTTAAAAGTCAAATGAGAGGCATAATCGTATCCTATTTGCCGGGTTATTATTACGGTGAATTAACACACGTTCGCAATTTAACTGCATTGAACTCTTCAAAAGGAGGAGGGAAAAGTACGGAATTTATTTGAAAAATGATCGAATTATCGTCTTTATCTACCGATATTTTGGACCTATCACACAAAAAAGCTCACGAACTATTGAAAACAAGCCTTTTTATCAGAACATAGCGCCAGAAAAGGTGGGTAAGTCCAATTATTTTTTGTATATCAGATCCGAATTATCGATGTTTTTTTGGTCAACGAAAGTGCCCAAAAACCCCCTCCCCCCCCGCGAAAGTACTTTCGTCTCCATATGAACATCGATATTTTGACCCCGCCCCTAAGTACAAAAATAACTGTATGTGACATCCGATAAAATATAGTGATGATAAAGCTTACCCAGGTTCCTTGTATGCAACCACCTTATCCAATGCGTTCTGGTCGAAAAATTCCTCATCTTCATCTTCGTATTGTTTATGGTCATAAACATCTTGAGGCTTGTTGGGACGAATTTTTTTACCAGATTTTGTAAGTACAAATTCACTTGCCTGAAACAAAAATAATATCTCTTAATTTGGTCTTCTCAGTCAGGTTGACAAAAAGTATGTCAAATTGTAAACTTAGAGAAAATTTTACATTATTTTGGAATCAAACTTTACTCTGAATAACTTTGAATACTTTGAATACAATTTTCAGAACTGTTAATTGAAGAATATTTTTACCAAATACACATTATGAATGTTTTAACTTACAACTGTACATGGCTTTTTGCTACATGCTTTTCCACGTTCAAACCTATCACTCCAGTTCTGGTGAAGCTTGTTGAAGTCGGGTATTGGCCTAGCCTTGTTCAGCTTGACGCTTTTCTTTACAGAGCTTTTGCTACTTGCCACAGGGATTTTACTGAAAACACATACAGAATTATAATGCAGAGTAATTATTAAAATATAAGTAATCATTACTGAAGCTATATAAAGATAATAATAAATTTCACATTTTCTCTTCTTTTTATTTATGAATAATGATTCATCAAGCTAATAGCCAGATGCAACAGTTTTTTTTGATACTAGCAACTACATGTATCAACAAGACAATGACAATACAACACTTTTTTAAAGTGTGATAAAAATTCTCAAAATATTATTCCTTTTGGAATTTAATCTCTTTTTCACTTTTAGAAAATTTGTTTAATTAAATATAACTTCAATTTGCGAATGAAAAAAATGTAACAGTATCATTGAAAACATTGAGACTATTTATGGAAACATAGTTTGCATGATCTTCTTAATTGTACCAGAATACAAGATACAGTTGGGGACATAAATAAATGACAGGTGGATTTGCTGAAGTGAGGATTTCCCATGTTAAAAATAAGAGAATTTACAAGAGGCCATAAATCAGTGGATGAGATTATACAAAATGTAAAATATACAAATTTTAAGGGATATGTATCTAGACAATATTGGAAATTATGGGCTTTCAGACCACCATAATTAGGAAATGGTGATCGAAAATCGACTTGTCATTTATTTTTGTCCCCAACTGTATCTTATATGCTAAAGAAAGTTATAAGGCTATTTAAGTTGCATGCATTCTCTTATATAATCTATTAAGTAAAGTTTGTGCATGTAATTAGCCATTATCCCTTCAGCAAAAGCAATGGGAAGAACAACAGACTTGAATATCATAAATGGCTAATTAATACAAACATTCACACCTGTTTCTGAATCAAATTGTAAACATTTAGAGAAATGTTAAATGCATACTTTTGAATCAAGAATTTCCCTTAAATTGTCCCTGGATCAAATTGTAAACCAAGAGAAATCTTAACATCATTTTGAAATTAAGAATTTCCCCTAAGTTGTCCGTGAATCAAATTGTAAACAAAGAGAAATCTTAACATCATTTTGAAATTAAGAATTTTCCCTAAATTGTCCCTGAATCAAATTGTAAACAAAGAGAAATCTATACAACATTTTGAAATTAAGAATTTCCCTTAAGTTGTCCCCGAATCAAATTGTAAACAAAGAGAAATCTTAACATCATTTTGAAATCAAAAATTTCTCTTAAATTGTTCCTGAATCAAATTGTAAACAATGAGAAACTTTGTTTGAAATGAAGAATTTCAACCTGTACCTTTTCACAGAGTGTACTGTCTGTCTGATGTTTTCCTTCTGACCTGCCTGGGATGGGGTTTTTGCTCCTTGCACCCTGAATAATAGAAGCATCATTTGAAAAATAAATTAACCCTCCATGTAATTTGATCCAGAATATGTAAAATAATTCATTATATTTTTATCACTTCTATCACACATTTACTAGATGTGAATCAGAATGAAGCTCACTTTTAAAAGAAATGAGATGGAATGGGTGTTATTATCATTGATTCATCCTTTGATAGCATTTTTGTTTTTTAGTCAGTCCCAATGTGGTTGTCTCTGTGGATGATATAATGTGCAATAATATCACATGTGCCAAATGACTTACCTGGCCTTAGCTTCTCCAGCAGTTGGCATCTTGACTGGTCTCTATCATCTGTGTTGTCTCTAAACCTAGGCTAGTGGACACTAACCTTACTAAAACATCAACAGACAAACATTTTAACTTTAAATCTCAAAATTGAAATGCTCAAAATTGAAACTAGTTTGCTTGATATGAGTAGGTCTGGTAAATCAGAAGACAGCACACCAATCCTTTATTAATAGTCAGTTTGGTAAACTTTGTTGATTAATGGTGACCTCAACATGGATTTGATTGCATACAAGCTGGTGGATGGATAAGTGGAGTGAAACTCGGATTTCAGTCCATAAATGTGTGAAAATTTTACTCAGAATAAAATAATATATAGCGTAGCCAGGATGAGGCAGATGAGATGCCAGGGCTCTCGCCAGGCTTTTAGACTGTGGCACAGCACCACACTCTATTTAGCTCCCTCCACACCCTATTGGCAAATCATGACTGTTTCCACAGTCTAAACTTGACTGAATACACAATAATAGCATGTAAAAAGGATAAAACATAACAAAAATATGATTTATTACGATTGAACGGTCATTCTGAAGATGTTAGCTGCACCACACCCTAAATATTTCCTGGTGAGAGCCCTGGATGCTAAGCACATCATCACTTTTTTAGCATATCCTTTATCTAATTAGTAATTATAAGGGTTATCATAATGTTCTTATAAAGCCTTCATCGAATTTTAATGGTATTTTGTGAGTGCCACTTATAGTACTATTAAGGTTCATATTTCCAGGGATGAGTTACATTTGTGTTTCTGACTGAGTTATATAGACATAATTGCAGTAGGGCGCTGCATCGAAAATTTCTCAGATCTAGGAACTAATAATAGATTGTGGTCGTACGCACGAACCATTGGTCAGTCAATGTTTTTACAAAGTTGGAGAAAATACTATGCATTGCATACTTAAAGAGAGAATCAGATCTAGCGAGCAGCAAAACAAAAAATTGTTTCAATATCAGAAAATTTCTGGCTTATGTCATTCCTTTTCATGTCTATTTTCTAAAAAATCCCCTAAGTGCACACTTTATATCAGGAAAACTAACGATTTTTATAATAATGTATTATTTAAGAATGGTTACCATGGTTATTATTTGGGAGAATTTAAACATTTTTCACCCATTTTTGCACTTTGAATCCATTATAACTTCACCAATTTATAACATAGCGTGAATCTTCTGGGAGATATTGTATTTAAGATTGTAAGGAATAGATTGGTAGGTCAATATGTACATGTTGCTTGCAGTTTTGTCACCCCCATAGATCTGATTCTGCCTTTAAATGACCTACCTCGATACATTCATGATTATTTAAGAATCCTTCTTATGTAGTTGAATCGCCAATTGTATGGGTTTATCGGCAGAATGAAGAGATTTTCGTTTTTGATAGCAATAGGTTGCGTGTAATATTTAACTTATTTCAACCGTTAAATTCCTCCATTTAGTAGAACATCCGGTCCCGGCATGCACCAGTCATAAGGGGAATCCCCCTCCGACAAGCTTCCACCATCTTTTAATATTTCCGATTCAAAAATGAAAATCTCTGCAATCCTTAGTATTTTCTCCAACTTTGTAAAAACATTGACTGACCAATGATTTGCGAGTACGACCACAAATGTAGGATGCGATAAATATAGGCCACGAGGCCAGTGTAGACCCCGGCTGTAGGCTACTGTTTGGAACTACTTTGAATTTATAAAATAAGCAATCAAAGGACCATATTGAAACAGTATATGTAAAAATAGAAACATTTATACATGTCCTAACTTTTGTATATTTTAGTTTGTTTTGTAGTTTAGCTATCATATCTGTGGCCTCTTATATTTTGATGCTTCTCTGCCATTACTCAAGTCTCTAGCTTACAGCTAGATGTAACTTCATTGATTTCGTATGTAATCTAGAAAAAGTGTCACACGCACCTAGAAGTCCTAATTAATAATTCTTATAAATATTTATAAGAATGATTAATAATCATATTCAAGTTGAAGCGTTGCTTGTCTGGATCAAGATATTTCACAATTTATTTTCGGAAAGAACCGCAAACTCAAGAGATCTATAACAACTGTGCTTGTGTCACCATGATTTACAAATATTGAATATCAGGTCGGCGGTAAAAAATCACTCAAAGCCGGAATATAGAGAAGGTTTTGGACCTAAGTTACTCTGCCATGGTATTTTCTGGAAAATTAACATGGCTGAAACACCCTAAATTTACTTCCTGCGAAAGCTATTTGGATTTTGATATAATAGCTTTCCCACGGAGCATTTGGACAGCTCAATGATCGTGACCTTTGAAATCAAATTAAGTCGATCCGCGGCTTACTTTTGGTCTCTAACTGTGTCTTACATCAGTATCATCAATCCGTGTAAGTATTGGAGCGCTGGAGTACTTCTTTTTCGATCAAGACTTGTAATTGTTAGTCGAGTGAATCGTTTTACTGCCAAATTCGAATATGGCGGTTTCTGCTCGGACATTTTCGTAAATCTCCGGAGGTTGTCCGAACCTAACTAATTCTCAAAATTCATTTCGTTCGTTGCGTATCTCGCACCTAGCAAACCGCCATATTGGAAATAGGTCTGTAAAACGTTAACTCGATGAACAATTTACAAGTCTTGATCGAAAAAGAAGTACTCCAGCGCTCCAATACTTACACGGATTGATGATACTGATGTAAGACACAGTTAGAGACCAAAAGTAAGCCGCGGATCGACTTAATTCAATTTCAAAGGTCACTATTGATCAGCTGTTCACTTCTCCGTTTGAGAGCCATAAGTTTCAAAATCTAACATGGCTCTCGAAGTGAGTAACCCTAAATTACAAAAGGCCACAGCTTTACTGCACATTATACATAGCTATCTGAAATATACAAAAGTTAGGACAAGTACATATGTTTCTTTTTTATATACTTTTGTAATATAGTAATTTGATTGCATATCTTTTAAATTCAAAATAGTTCAAACATTTAAAATTTTACTGTAAGTTAACTTAGACTTGATTTCAGCAAGGAAAAATAAAAAATTTAAAATCAACATGAAATGTTTTAGCATTTTTATCCCAAATTACAAGGTCTATGTTAGATTTTATAGGCAAATTATTTAGAAATCATATTATCATATACAAAAACGTAAGCATTATTAAACAAAACACTTAATTATGTTATAAAAACAAGATAAACGGAGGAGAACATAAAATTTACCTTTCCAAATTTCCCAGACCGTTTGTACGCTGTGGATTTAGACCAATCAAATCGCTTGTTTGTTTTTGATGCGCATGCGGAGTAGGGCTTGAACGTAATCTGGTGGGATTTCACTTTCAGCTGGCTGTCATCAAAAAGGATGGATTTAATCGTCATAATTGAAATCTGAAATTCGCATTACTATGGGAATCACATTTGACAATATGTCCCCCACTATATTTGCAGTTGGGGCCGTGATTTTGTATCTTCTTTTTCGCTTCCTCAATCTTGCAAGTTACACAGCAAGTCCACTTCTGTTTTTCAAAGGATCACAGATTGTACAAGGGATCATTAAAGCATGCCCTTTACTCACAGAACCGTAAGTATTAGTCCTTTCATGTACAAAACTAGTTTCTCTTGAGATTCGTCATGGTTGGTTAGTCTTGAAAGTCCATGGTCTCTTGAACCAATTATTATCCCAACGAACAAAGTTAGGATATAGTGAAGCCCTCCGTCCTTCCACCAGTCAGTCCGTCTGTCTGTCCGAAAGATAACTCAAATAGAAGTTGACAGATTTTCTTCATATTTGTTGGAAATGTGTAAATTTGTAAATAGTTTTACACAAAAAAAAGAAAATTATTGAGATGGCCGCTGCTTTAAAAATTAAGGGAATTTTTCACAAAATACCCAATAGTGTAACTGACCTGTCAAGTTCCGATTCAAATTGGAAGAAATACCAATATTTAGTGCTTATCCCAATTTTTTAGTCAAACCCTAATTTTTATGTAGCCACCTGATTTTTCTTTAAAAAACTATCATTTTTGCAACAAGAGATTATTATACAGTAAATCCTGTCTAATCCGAACACCATTAGGACCGGATAAAAGCGTTCAGATTAGGAGGTGTTCCATTTCGAGGTTTTGCATCCGCAATAATCCGGATTCTGAAGAAATGTGAACACATTCTCGGTAAATATTTATAGTTCTTTTGACCACATAGCTTTATGGCATTCCAGAAATTTGAAAATTTGATTCAAATGAATCTAATCATGCTGGAAAGCCCCATTATGAATGAGACCATTCAAGATTATTTCCCAAAGTTTTGATATCATGACAAAATTTGAGTAATTTTGTATAAAACATCAGAAATTTTATGAAAAGTGTTCAAATTAGACAGGTGATTTTTTCAAATATGACTGTTCACTGTTCAAATTGGAAGGTGTTCACATTTCAAGGTTTTTTAACATGGGAGTCAATAGGAGGAAAAAATGGGACCGAAAAAAATTGTTCAGATTGGGAGATGTTCGGATTAGCCAGGTTTTCATATATACAGGTTCTACTGTATATACGATTATTTGTTAAAAACAAATTGTTTTTTGTAAACCAGCAGATTTTTCTCCTTATTTATTTTTAGCAATCCAGATTTTCTCCCTATTTTGTTGAATTGTCAATTAAGTTTTTGTAACCCAATTTTTCTCTCGGATTGGAGTCATCATTCTGCGAAGGATAGGCCTAGTATGCATAGTCCTAGCATAATCAAGCCTTAAGGATTGGCAACAGGAATGAGAAAAAAAAACTTTTTTCTTTCCCAAATCTCGCCTGAAATTAGCTCATCTTGGGTGACATGATTTCACTGTTTTTTGTGGACTGGTAAGTAGTGTTGTCGCGATGTGCTTGTTGATAGAGTCCAATCCATGATTTTTCTCCTGAATTTTTTAGAAACCCAGATTTTCTCTTAATTTTTTTTTAGAGAAAACCAGATTTATCAGAAAATGAACCCTGATCTTTTCCAAACAACCCTGATAGACATCCCCTAGCCAAAATTTTTTTCAAAATCATGCAGTTTTTCCTGATTCTGAATATTTTTCATGTGATTTTGGGCCAAAGGAGTGGTATCGATATGGAGAACTGAATTCAACAATTTTTTTCTCTTTAACCAATCATTGAAAACATTCTGTAAAAAACACAGTATTTTATGTAATGTTAACTCATTGACAACAATTTAATGCAAATATTATTTCGAAATATTTTATATAACTATTTTTGTTAACATTTTTTGTTTTTTAGTGCAATTGTTTTTGCTCCTTTCTACCAATTCTTGAGAATGAAATAAAATGTCTTTCCGAACCTTGCTGGAACAAAATAGCATATACAACATGTTTTTAGACCTCTCAATATTATAGTAATACAAAGGAATTTTTGGTTGATTTTAAAAAAAGTATTCAAAATTTAGAACAAAATCCTTCCAAAATAGATAAAAATCAAGATAAAAAACCTTTTATTTCATTAACAAGATACTTTTTTAAAATCAACCCAAATTTCCTTTGTACAATTACAATATTGAGAGACCTAAACATGTTGTGTTTATGTCGTTTTGTTCCAATGAGGTTCGGAAAGATGTTTCATTTCACTCTGGAAACATAATACCAAAAACAAAACAAGTGTTTGATGTGTTTTCTAAAACAATATAGTACAATATAGATGAAAGTATATATATTTTTTTCAAATTTAATTATATTGTTACCATTCAAAAGATGACCATTAAATTGACGATGTGTTAAATTTTTAGAAATGTGTGTTCAAAAAGTTCTCCATATCGATACCACTCCTTTGTTTAATGTTTAAGTGACCCCCTGGCCCTGGAATTTTTCTGAAAAGTGAACCCTGCACTTGGCGAAAGCTGGCTACGGGCCTGCCTGATTTTTAGAAAAAAAATCCTATTTAAACTCTAATTTTTTACTGGTTTTCTCCCAATTTTCCAGAAAAGAACCCCAATATTTTCCTTGAATATGGTATGATGTTGCCCTTCTCAAAACTTCTAGATTGATACACATAGGCCAAGGTTAAAGGATCTAAGCTCAAGACTCAATGCATTGTTTGTTGAATCATACCATGAAGGTGTTGTTTCCAAACCTTTGCATGACCGCGCAGCGGGAATGCAAAGTTTAGGAAACAACGCCTGAGTGGAATGAAGCAGCTACAATGAGTCTTTTGCTTAAATTCACACATTACAATTTTTTCTATAAATCATCTAAAAAGAACGAAATCACTAAAAGTACACATTTTCAATGAATCTTTTTGCAAGGGTCATGTTGGCAACAGGGTGCATCATAAGAGCCAATTACTCACTGGTCAAGCAGACCAGTAGGTACCTTAAAACAACTGGTCCGTTTCAAATCTTACTGGTCAAGCTTGACCAGTACTTTTTCAAAATGAACTGGTCCGCTACAATATATACTGGCCCGTTTAAAATGACTTATTTTTCAAAATAAGACAAACTTCTACATTAGGCGCTATTTACACTGCATATGGTAAATATGGCATATGGTTTGATAAATTGCCGATCAAATAAAATCAAAAGTGAATTATTTTTCATACAAAGTTTATCATCGTAACCCCCAAGAGGGGGAGAAACCCAAGGGTTCAAAGATGACATATGCTTATAATGTAAATCTGAGATGACATCGTTTTGGAAGAGAACGGGGCGTTTTGATCAATTTCAAACAGATGCGTAGGACTTTTGGAAATTGGTGCGTTTAATGTAATAAATATGTTTATGCAGAGATGGAGGGTTGTAATGGGAGTCCTTGTGCAAAATATAGGGGAGTATAATAAAAGAACTGGCGATATATCGAAGCTTTTGGTTGAAATCTCTGAAGATTTGCACCTTCTCACATCTGGGGACCAAAACGCTGCTAAAACAAGCGATCTGTACACAAAAGCAATGTCTCGAGTGAAAGGTATTTCTGTGAAGGTTTTAATGGAACAAGTTTGAAGAAAAATGGTGCACTGTGAGACTCACAATCATTGATTTTCCGAAGAAAGGGTAGGTTTGAAATTCAAATTAACGGGGCGTTTTGGTTTCGCTACGCCCCGGTGAGTTAGTACCGCGTGATATTGATGCTTCAGTAATACAATTTATGTTAATACACACTGGCGGATTTGTGTGGACCCAAAATTTTTTTCCAGCAAACGCGGAAGTTCTTTTATCAGACAAGAAGTTTGGGCCCCCCCCCTTGTTGGTTCCCAGATCCGCCCCTGATACATGTATCTAATATAAGAAATACATAATAGAAAGCTTTCTTTGTCTTGGCTATAACATTAAAACAAATTGCTGCTAATAACACAAAACGAATTATCAGCATGACATGTAGTGAAACAAATGTATATATATAATCATGGGTAGAGCCCATGATATAATTATTGGAAAAATGAGAAATCCATCAGTCAATTCATTATCAGTTATTTGATAGAGCAGCTGCCATGAATAATTTACTGGCCAAACCACATGTGTATAAGCTGTACATTAGACACGATCAAAGGATGCATAGAACATCTCTATGCATTAATTAACTTGCTAGAATTAGGAGACATGCTCGGGTGCTAGTTTTCTTTATAGACTTGCCAATCCTGAATAAGGAATTAAACTGAAAGATGTTCCATCGAAAGACAAAGGATGGGTATCGATATGGTGAACTTTTTTAACACACGTTTCTCTTAAACCAGTCATCAAAAATTTCTGAAAATATTACATATCGTCAATTTAATGGCCATCTTTTGATTGGTAACAATATAATTTGAAATAAATATATATACTTGTCTCTATATTCTTTTAGAAAACACACCGGACACTTCTTTTGTTCTTGGCATCATATGTTCGGAATGAAATGAAACATCTATCCAAACCTCATTGGAACAAAATGACATAAACACAACGTGTTTAGTTCTCTCAATATTGTAATTGTACAAAGGAAATTTTGGTTGACTTAAAAAAGTATCTTGTCAATGAAGTAAAAGGTTTATCTTAATTTTTATCTATTTCTGGTTTTTTGTTTTAATTTTTTGAATGCTTTTTGTAAAATCAACCAAAATTTCCTTACTATTAAATATTGAGAGGTGTAAGAAAATGTTGTTTGCTATTTTGTTCTAACAAGCTTCGGAAAGATATTTTATTTCATTCTCAAGAATTGGTAAAAAGGAACAAAAAACGATTGCACTAAAAAACAAAAAATGTTAACAAAAACAGTTATATAAAATATATATAAATAATTTTCGCATTAAACTATTGTCAATCAGTCAGAATTACAAACAGGATCGTGTTTTTTTACAGAATGTTTTCAATAATTGACTTAAGAGAAAAACATTGTTTAATTCAGTTCACCATATCGATACCAATCCTTTCCTTTAAGAGTGAAAATACATCCAACCAAGATGAGATTGTTGAATGCCTAGCTTAGTACTATTATATCTGTGATCTTTGATTTATCATAATTATGTGAAGTTAAGTCAACAGTAGGGTCACTAGCACGCCTCCCCCCATCCAGTTTCTCAGTTACCGGTATGTTTTTATTCTAGTATTTTTTATTTTATGGTATCATGCAACTCACAGTGTACATTTATTTCAATGATTTTAAAAGAATAATATTTTCTGAGCTAGTTGCAATTTGTTTAGAAAATATGTTCTGCTTGTTGATGCATTCTGATAGTTTCAAATCGTAATTGTAATTTGTGATTGATATGAAATTCTCTTATCAACAACTATCTGGAAAGCCATCTAAGGTTATTTTCAGTTTATTAAATACTAATACATGTATTGATCAATATATAATCAGTAGGCCTATACTGTACATGTATATAGTTATCCAGGAGAGCCTATACATGCATGTAATTGTTAGGAGCGCCAGGATGGATACCCTGGGTAGAAAACAATACATCAAATTTATGAACTTATTAATGTCAATTCTGATCAATGTAAAAAATCACAGTTGAGCTATAAAACAATTTATTTTTGAAGAAAATAATCAGAATGAGTTTTTCTGCACATGCACTTTTGCATAAACTTAATTAAATTGTACATGATATAGATAAAATTCATTATGGAGCAATTGCGAGACACTTCAAGATCATTGACAGAAGCACAAAGTCTACAAGTATGTACTTTAAGTTCAAGTTGAAGTTTATGCCAATTGCCAATGGGTTTAAAGAGTACAATGCATATACCAAATTTCTTCATACCCAAGCCATATTGTAAAATATCATGTCCTTTTAACTCCTTTGTGAAATTTTGGAAAAATGGAAAAAATGAAAAGCTGAAATGAAAATGAATCTAAAAGCAAGTAAAGAAGCAACACCCAATAAGTTATATATCATTTTGAAGGGCTGGACCCATTCTTTATGTTTTTTGAAAAAAATCCAACTGCGCCATCTTGAATTATGACGTCACAATGACACTATCTCATTTGCATATTCACATTTTTTCAAAAAACATAAAGTATGGGTATTAGCCCTTAAAATGATATATAACTTATTGGGTGTTGCTTCCTTTTCTTGCTTCTATGTGCTTTGTTGGTTATTCCAAGTGAATGGGTTAATCTTGCCTTATAAGAATGTTCTGATTATCTTGCCTTCTATCAAATCTTGTTAATAATATATATGATTTCAGGTACATTCCACCACTACTATGGGGGAAGTCAGGGCATATACAAACAGTTATTTATGCCAAATTAGGGAGGATAAAATCTCCATTCCCAAGTGGCCAAAGACTCAGCTCTGTGATGCCAGATGGCGCCACCATGACATTTGATGTATTTGAACCTCTTGCTGAACATTCCAGTGGAGGTGAGAAGATTTGACAGAAATATGCATGAAAATTCTCTTTTCATGTCACTGTGAATATACATGCCCATTTGAAGGGGGGGGGTGCATTGGGGGCTACTGTGTGGGTCTATTGAAAGCTCATGGTGTGGCCATGCATTTTGCGCACCTGGTCTGTCAGCAGCACAATACATCCATGCACATAAGTCACCCCTCCTTTGGAAAATCTTCCGGACAGGCCTGATACATGTATATGGGGTCTTGACAGAGAGAGAAGATGCATACTTAATCAAGATTTCTAACTTAGAATTGCATTTATGTTCAAATCAAGAACAAACTTCACTTTGTATTTTTGAATGATATGTATGTGATTTGTGTCATTCCATTTTCAGGTGACTACACAATGTGTGTTTGTCCAGGTATCGCAAACTCTAGTGAAAGTGTTTACATTCGTACATTTGTGGACCATGCACAGCGTAACGGCTACAGGGTTGCCGTGTTGAACCACCTGGGGGCTCTGAAAAATATCAAACTAACAGCTCCAAGGATATTTTCATATGGTAAGTGAAGAAACAAGGGGCTTGACTGCACTTAAGAATAATAAAAATATATTGGTCAAAGGAAGGTACTAAGGTACATGTATACATTTTACAATAAACTCCCTAAGATTAGACACTTCTTCGAGTAAAAATGAACTCATTTAGTACATATTTTTTAAAGGTCAATTCTTTGAAATGTCCAAAATATTAGTCAATATTTAAGTGTATGATGTTTTAATATGAACAACACTTTTGTTTATGAGATGCAGGCCCATAGCCAGGGGGGGTTCGCAGGGTTCGGGTGAAACCCCCCCCCCTCCTGGCCAAAAATTCTTTCAAAATCATGCAGTTTTTCACCATTTTGAGCACTTCTCAAGTGATTTTAGCCATATTTGGGCCAAAATTGTCAAATGTGAACCCCCTGGAAATTTTTGAAAACTGAACCCCCCCCTCCCCCCCTTGGCAAATCCTGGCTACGGGCCTGAGATGTGTACTTAACTATTAAACATATACATGTATTTTACTTTATAATGAAAGGTTTATGACAAAGCACTCTATTTTTTACCACACATCAAACTAACTTAATGTTGGGTTATCAATACAGTATAATCATCATTATCATCTTAAGTATATATGCATTAAAAGATCAACCATATCCATAAGTGGTTTCTTTCATTAGAAATCATTTGAATATCATGATACTAGTACATGTACATGTATTCTACAAATAATGTGAATGTAGTTGATGACTTTGAGATGAACATTATGTTTTCTGAATGTAAAAGGTCTCAGTGTCAGTATAATAAAAAATGGCTTATTATTCTATTACCGGGTATGTTAAATTTTATATTTGTATGCAGTCTTGAAATAAAGAATTATAACTTCATCAGCCTTATTAACTTCATATGTTGCAGGAGAGACTGATGAATATGCTAGGATGATAGAAGAAATAGAGAGAGTCTTTCCCAACTCTAAGCTGCTCTCAATTGGCTTCAGTATGGGAGGCAATTTGATCTGCAAGTACCTGGGTGATAGCATAGAGCACCAGAGAAAGTTCATTTGTGCAATGTCAATATGTCAGGGTTACGATGCAATGGCGTAAGTATTGCTATTAGGTTATCATTACTATCACACTGAATGAAGTAGATACAATATCTAGTAAGTCATTTGTCTGTCCGTCTGTCCATTCACTGTCTGTTTGGGGGTCTGGGCAATAACTCAAATACTGGTAGTCCATTTAGGTTCAAGTTTTATAGTCGATGTCTTATGGGAATAGAACCAATGCTTGAGAAGGAATTCTCAATATGGATGCTCAATTCGAAATGGCTGCCATTTAAATATCAAGTTTTGGGCCCTAATTTGAATGCCTTTTTACTAGTTCAGATAAATTACTTTATAAAGTATTCAATCTTTATAAAGTATTCAATCAATAACATGATCTATGCTTCATAAATCTTGGCCAAACCCACTTAACATGATTAACCACCCACTTCCTCAATGGAATAACAGAGAGTTAAATGTTATCAGTTCTTAAGTTATGCATCCATTATCTAATCAGCCAACAGTCTTATAATAAAGGAAACACAATCTAAGAATAGGAAATGCTATCTGTATATGGCGACTAAATATAAACAGTAAAACCCAATATTTTTATTTTTAACATTTTAGGGCAATGCCTCACTTCACTGGCTGGGATCTATTGCTGCGCTTCTATAACTGGGCTATGACTCAGAATTTAAAGAAACTTCTAAACGCCCACAGGGATGTGTTATTTGGGGCACATGCTAAGAGCCTCTATCCTACAGCTTGTGACACAGAGAAAATATTTTGGGCTACAGCTCTATCAGAAATAGATGAAGTGTACACAAGGTAAGAGAGTCTGGACAATTTTACTGGTCTCAACCCAATTACCCAAATGCAAGTAGGTAGTTACCAGTTTCACCACCAGGTGGCTGATTCGGGTCAATTAACATGGCAGGTATATAAGAAAGTTCCCTTAAACTTGAATATTATCAATTTAAGTGGCTTAATTTTGATATAACCCTTTTGTGTCTGATACTAATACTAATGAAAATATGTCCAGTAAAGCAAAATATTATCTGTCCACTAAAAGAAAAGATATTTCATTTTTTGTGATTTTATAGCATGGGGTCTATGGGGAATCTCCCCGAGCTAGAAGTCACATTTTCAAAGAAAATTAATTTTTCAAAGTTGATAAACACTTTTAAAAACCACATATCTAGATGTAATTTTACATGTAGATTTTAAATATGATATTACTTTGACTGACTTTTGAATTTTTAATGACGTAAATCAAGATTATTTCTACTCGCATCTGGGTTATTCGCACTGTTTCTCTTATCAATGTTTTGTGGCCAACACATTTGCCATTGATTTCATACACATGTGTGTCTAATAATGTCTATTGAGGGGTCTGTATCCATACTAGGCACATACACATATGTTTATTGAATCACAGTCAATGAACTACTGTAAGACTGTCTAAATTCCTTTTGCTCACTTTCAACTTAGAAATATTACAAATACTACATTTGTCCCATTCATCACCATATCTTTATACTAAACACAAGTTCAACATTTTCCCTACTCTGCCTTAATGAAGTTGAAATCTGCACCTTCAATGACTGACTCACTGTGTATGTATTTCCATCTCACTCTGTATGTACATGTATTTCAGGAGAAGAGCTGGTTTCTCCTCTCTTGAAGAGTTCTACACAAAAAGTAGCTGTAGATACGTTCTCAATAATGTAAGTGTCCACCCTTAACAGAATAACAGTCACAATAACTCTTAGATTTTCATCTCGCATAAATGGAAACACAAGTACCGACCAAAGAGCATCACATTACATAGCAAGAATAAAACCTGAGGGTTTCACTCTAATATACTTCTTAATACCTGCTGCGCCAAAGACCCCCTTTTTCCATTTTTTCCATGTCAATTTTCCTTTCAAGATTGATTATTATGTAGAAGACTGTCTCTATTGGAAATGTGTATGTATGATTTTCATGTTCTTGTTTGCAGATAGACATGCCAATATTCTTTTTGAATGCTGAGGATGATCCCCTTATTCACAAAGATCTATGGCATTATGCCAAAGAATATGTCAGTGAGTACTCTACCACACAGCATTTTCACATCAAGAGTATACACCACCACCATATAGTGCTGACATATTGTTATAATTACCAGTTTTTGAGACTGAGATTTTGTGTCTGCTTTTGATGTCTGTAACAATTGTTACACTTTTGTAATTGCAAACAGGCTGACAGGTGGTGACATTTTGGCGTGTGAATGCCTTGTTATGATTACATTCCTTCTCACAAATCGACAGCTTTATATTACTTAACATTTTTAAAGGCAGAATCAGATCTATGGGGGTGACAAAATTACAAGCAACATATCCAATTGACCTACCAATGTATTCCTTACAATCTCAAATACAATATCTCCAAAAAGATCTTCAATATATTATAAATTGGTGAAGTTATAATGGATTCAAGGTGCAAAAATGGGTGAAAAATGTTTAAATTCTAAGCCAGAAATATTTTACAATTGAAACAATTTTTTGTTAGGCTGCTCACTATCTCTGATTCTCTCTTTAATTTAGCTACATGTATTTATTCAATATATAATTAGTCTCAAAAATAAAAGATAATAAACTTTTTTCAGTGACCCATGAGAAAGCTGTCCTTGCTGTGACAAAACATGGCGGCCATCTTGGTTTCTTTGAATGTGAACCTAGTCACCCGTACGCCATGCACCCCCTCACCTGGCTGGATAAAGTAATTGTGCAGTATGGAGATGCAGTAATCAACTCTTCAAAAGGGGAATAAATAGAACATAAAACAAGCCATATTGATCAACTATTAGGGTCATTCAAAAAGTTTTGCACTATTGTGTCTCATTTTTTGAATAATTACCTTTCATTTACTTATAATTTTGCAATTGCTATGGTAGCCATTCATTCAAATTTCAAAGTCAATGGATCTCAAGAGATACATAGCTTATCATTCTGAAATTGCATATGCTTGTAGAATGATTTAAACTTTGTATATCAAGGGCGTCAGAAGGATTTGCCAAGGGAGGGGCGACTTTTGGGTATGGATGGGTCGTGCGCGAGTGGCGCAATATAGGGGGATGGGGGGCATTCTGGTGCATTCTGAACATATCTCAGCACAACATTGCCAATAATAAAAACAAAAAATGGTGTTTTTAGAAAACTTAACTTGACTTTAAAAAACATTGACTTTACGATTTTGTATTTATTCTTCAAAGTATTTACATACTGTATGGGTTCCTGAGAAACTATACATGGTATAAAATTAGATATAATATGAGAAACGATGTAGACGAGATACTGACATAGTATCATTTCTGTCATTATTTCACTTTGACTTTAATTAGCTGTAGAGCTTTCAATTCTAGGCTCGGTTTCAAATCTAAATAAATCTGGGAAAGGGGGGGGGGGTGGTCGCCCCAATGCCCTCCCCCTGCCGAAAAATCCCATCTCTTGTGAAGCCTTTGTGTAAAACTTTTTGAACAACCCTAATATTTAAATGTCACTTAGCTGTTGCTGTTGCAAATAAGATAAAGATTTGAAAATATTCAGCAACACTTACATGTAAGTTAAAAGTAATGTTTCATTTCAGCACTAAAATACAATTTTACGAGTAAAACCTAATATCAACTTATATATTTATAATTTTATCTTATATATACAGTACATCAAAACTCAAATTATTAGCTTATCTGGGGTGTAACCAGCACCTTGAAATAGGTGAGACAAAATCTAGTTAGGTGAGGCTACTTTGAGCCCCGGGCTTTGAGCTTAAAATGGGTTATAATAAAATCATTGGACCTGGTTTTAACAGTTTCAATGGAAGAAATATCGAGTTAACATTTTGTGAGCCAACTCATGCTTGGCTATGCCCTTGGTTGTGAAAACTGTAACATCAAATGACTATTTTAATGTATTCCACATGTATGTAACAGATACGATTACTGGATTTTAGGCCACAATATTTGGTTTAAATGTTTATTTTATTCTTTTACCATCTTTGCAAATTACAGTAATGGACTAGTAAATTGAGATTTCCTCTATGAGTGTACACTACATGTGTATCTTGGCTCAGCATTTTCTTGCCATTGACTCTAATGTAAACATAGTCTTAATGAGTCAACACTGATTTTCTAATGTACAAATGTGTTGATTGCTGACATGTTAGTTATGAACCAAACATCTTGCTGAATAAGGTGTTAATTGACTTTTTGATTAATTATTAAAGAGTACATGATATTGCTATATGTAAGATTAATACTAAGATTCTGCCTACTTACTATTTCATTCAGATAAATGTCATTTCAATTTAAGTTATTGTAAAATTGAAGAGATGGGTGGGTTTTTGCAGAAGGGATAATTATTAGCCATATGTTAAAATAAAACATTTGAGTCAGTCATTTAGTGCTCATTAAAATAATTTGATAATAGGTAACTGCATAGACTTGCCTCAACCATGGGCTTTCAATTATCTAGTTGAAAGCCCATGCCTCAACTGTCCAAACCTTGAACCATTTTTCAAAAATTTAGTCCCATTTTTCTTGAAAATGAGGCCATCTTTATGAAATCCAACAAAATATGACCCAAATAAGAGGTGCTACTTCCCAATTTAGACAGTGGTATGTGTCACAGGATGACTGGTCTTTTATTGAACTATAGCGATTGGGTAGAATCATCTAGTTGTCCTAAGTGCAATCTTTAATTATATTACAATGCATGACATTCAGTTTAGCCATGTTATAAATATTTATACATGTTATTGTAGATTGTTATACAGATATATAATTACAAAAATATGCATACATTATTATTATGTTTTGTATTAACGGGTCAATAGCTGTAATTTCCAACCTAAATATTTGCATAATTCTTTATGATATGTACATGTAAGTAACAATTTATTTTCTGAAAATATCAATGCAATGCAATAGCCTTGAATAAGTTCCATGCAAGTTACATGTAGACCTAGGAATCAATATTATGATTTAAAAATATTTTAAGGTTATTTAGGATGTGAATTACAGCTAGCAGCCCTTTAGTTAAGCCACAGAATACTAGTATGTATATCCAGGGTCGACAAATCAGTTTGATGATACATGTAGTTATATTGTTATTTAAATCTTTTATCAATATTTTCAAATATTATTATATATTGTTGTATATGTACATTTAACAGATTAAGCTAGGCAGGGCATGATCTCTTTTATACTGGCCTGGCATCATTGTCAACCTAAGCATATTATATAATAGTCTTAAATAAGATCTTGCATGAGTTATTACCCTGGCCCCCTGCCTAAATGTTACACTGTGTTTCATTCATGCTACACTTTGTTTCATTAATGTTCAATTGTGTTTCATTCATGCTACACTTTGTTTTCTTAATGTTATACTGTATTGCCTTAATGTTACACTGTGTTTCATTAATGTTACACTGTGTTTCATTGATGTTACACTGTGTTTCATTGATGTTACACTGTGTTTCATTGATGTTACTCTGTGTTTCATTGATGTTACTCTGTGTTTCATTAATGTTCAATTGTGTTTCATTCATGCTACACTTTGTTTTTTTCTTAATGTTATACTGTTTGCCTAAATGTTACACTGTGTTTCATTGATGTTACACTTTGTTTCATTGATGTTACACTGTGTTTCATTGATGTTACACTATGTTTCATTGATGTTACACTATGTTTCATTGATGGTACACTATGTTTCATTAATGTTCAATTGTGTTTCATTCATGCTACACTTTGTTTTCTTAATGTTATACTGTATTGCCTTAATGTTACACTGTGTTTCATTAATGTTACACTGTGTTTCATTAATGTTACACTGTGTTTCATTGATGTTACACTGTGTTTCATTAATGTTACACTGTGTTTCATTGATGTAACACTATGTTTCATTAATAGCCTTCATGTTACACTGTGTTTCATTAATGTTACACTGTGTTGCCTTTCATGTTACACTGAGTTTCATTAATGTTACACTGTGTTGCCTTCATGTTACACTGAGTTTCATTAATGTTACACTGTGTTGCCTTCATGTTACACTGTGTTTCATTAATGTTACACTGTGTTGCCTTCATGTTACACTGTGTTTCATTAATGTTACACTGTGTTGCCTTAATGTTACACTGTGTTACCTTAATGTTGCAATATGCTTGGAGAAATGCGAATGTAGATCATCTTGTAAGACTGTAAACATTGAACACAATACAGAGCAATGCAATACACAAAACACATTCTAAATTATGAATTTATTGTTTTGTCTTCTTATTCTTGGCAGGGCACCCTGATATATGTTTGTATTCATTTGACACATTCCAGGGAGTAATGTTTCATAGATCAGTGTTCCATAGATAATTATGTCACCACCAAAAAGTGGTGACATATTGTTATGGTCTCCGTTTGGTTTACGGCGGGTGCTGGTTGATAGTTGGTGGTTGACAGTTGGCGATCGGCGTCTGTAACAAATTCTTACAACTTCGAATAACTTAATAAATACTGTTTAGACTGACTTCAATTTTTTTCAAAATCATCTTCATGTTTTTAGAGATTCAAATCTGACTTTAGATTTGACCTTCAATGACCTTTTCAGGGTCAAAAAAGGTCTTTTTTCAACTTGCTTCAAATTGACCATTTTTTTTTCAAAATCATCTACAAGTTCTCAGAAATTAAAATCTGACTCAAGATTGAACTATTGTGAGCAACTAGGTGGTGACATGTTGTCATGTTAATGCCTTGTTTGTATGTAATGCCATTCAGCCATTGGTTGAGAAAATAAAAAAAATAATTGAAATGATAGGTCATTGGCCCCTCGCCTGCTGAATCAATGGTATATCATTATGATAGTAAAGTCAATATTTTGAGTTCAGTGTCATCTTATTGGGGTTAGGCCACTGTCAATTTAAGATTTTAAGAGATTGAATTCTGTGCATAATTTTCTACCAGAAGAACTTTGAGCAACATGAGCAATGCCAATGAAGGTACTCTTCGTGGAGAATAGTTGGATTCTAATAAATTAACATTTTTTAAGGCAAAGTAACATGTTTTAAAAATACCTACATAATAAATTATCCATTTTTCATTGAGAAAAGTTAAAGTCCAATAAAGTAACCTTTTCAAGGCAAAGTAACGTGTTTTAAAAATGCATACACATAAAACTAGTCAGAGAAATGATTAAGTCCAAAGTAGCACTTTTTCAAAAGGATTATCAATTTATAATGACCATTTTTGAACAAGTCTTTCCTTGAAAATTTCTTGGAATTATTTCTTTCAAAAGAAACGAAAAAAACAGTACTTTTAAATGTCAATATTTTTGTCCCGAGAATCTTGACACTGTTGAATGAAGGATGGTAATGACCTTTCAAAATTGACATTTTGCCCTTTATTAGTAAAATAATACTGAAATTTCATTTATCATCCTTTTGCTGAAATATGTACACAACTGGTGTGGAAAATAATTATGACTGGTTCCTATGACCAGTTGAGGCAACAGCATTGATTCTTATACCCGGGAATTTGTGCGTATGATATAACTATTGGTTTGCTTTATCGTTCAGTGGAAAGTGTGGAGCACGAAGAACTGTCACGTATTTTTTAATCTAAAATATGATAGCCTTAAAAATGGTAAAACATGATTTATGTTTGAATCCTATGCTGTACTTTATAATTTTATTCACGATTGTTATGCGGGATACCTTTGTTGAGTAGTAATAAATGAGTTCAAATGATGAACAACAATTTTCTAAAATCATAATTAAAATATGCGTCGTGTAAAGTGATAAAAATCAAAATGGCTTCTCTCGGACGAAATCTTATGCAGCTCTCCCGCCGTGGTTTTTCGACTTCGTCGGTCGTGAGAAGCCAAACTTGGCAGCAATATGGTGTTCCAGGCTCCGTAAGTATATGCTTCTCTGTTTGAATTACAATTCGCAATTAGAAAGAGTGTATGTAATGCAAAATAATATATTTATCGTTTTCTAAAAAGAAATCTGAAAAATCATGTCGCAAGGTCAAATAATATTTGATTTAGTTTTGATCATCTAAGTCGAATAGAAACACCGATACTAATGAACGTTACACTTGTCATATGTCACGGTCATAGCAGGGTGAACGTTGAACTAGGTTATACCAGACTTTCACGATAACACTAAAGTCCATTTCACTGCTTCAGTTCGTCAGTAGAACGGCAAAAATAAGAAATTGGGAGACCATTGTGCAATAATATATGGAAAAGTATATTCATAATGTACATGAATGACATTTGTATATTTCAGATTTTTTAGTTTTTTGTGCAATAAGCCTGTGTCGTCTTGTAATTTAAAGAATTTCAGCCATGTTAATCTTATTGAAAATAACATGGCAGAGAAACATCCAAATATAAGAGGCCACACACTTTATAAGCCAAACTAGAAGCAATCCAAGATATACAAATGTCATTCATGTACATTATGAATATACTTTTCCACATATTATTGCACAATGGTCTCCCAATTTCTTATTTTTGCCGTTCTACTGACGAACTGAAGCAGTGAAATGGACTCTAGGCTACCACGTTCATGGCAGGTTATCCCGTGCCAGGACTATAGTCCTGCATTGAGAGCATTCTTTTGCCTGTACGATTACAACATGGGAGAATTTTCTACGCTTCTTACACTTAAGATACCTATTTCAATAGATTCCTTGGTATTTTAGCATTCTTTTCTTGTAGTTGAATCCACAATTGTTTGGGTTTATCGGCAGAACAACGAAATTTTCGTTTTTAATCACAATATTTGCGTGTAATATTTAACTTATTTCAACCGTCAAATTCCTCCATTTTTGGTGCTTCCGGGCCACTTCCGGGTCAGTCAAACGGGGAATCCCCTTTTAAATCCAACCGCCATCTTGTAAAGTGATGGAATATCTCTCGATGAAAAAGAAAAATGTTCCCGTTCTGCGGATATACCCAGACAATTGTGGATTCAACTACACGAAAAGAATGCTAAAATACCCAGGAATCAATTGAAGTAGGTATCTTAAGTGTAAGGGGCGTAGGTAATTCTCCCAAGTTGTAATCGTACAGGCAAAAGAATGCTCTCAATGCAGGACTATAGTCCTGGTACGGGATAAATGGCAGGATCCTTGCGCAATTTAAGGTCAGGGTGCATGATGGGAAATTTTCATGTTATTTTTTCATGTTATTTTTCATACAAGAATCACTCCTTCCCCAAATTGTCTATATCTTCCAGTTTTGCACAAAGAGTACACTTATGTGCCTAGAAAAGACATGTGAGAAGAATGTTTTGATAAAGTGTATAAAAAACAAGAAAATTCAGTGAAAAAAATCAGAAAATTTTCAGAAATTTTTTTCACTGAATTTTCTCATTTTTTATACATTTTACAAAACAAACCTTCTCACAAGGCTTTTCTAGGCACATAAGTGCACTAGAACTTGGAAGATGTAGACAATGTGGGGAAGGAGTTATTCTTGTTTGAAAAATAACATGTGACTCAATTGAGGAATGCAGAAAATTTCCCAACATGCACCCTGTCCTTAAGAACACTTAAAAAGTCTAACCACAATAAGCAAATCTGGCTTAGATAATCCCTACTTCATTTTCGCGAAATGTTAGCTCAAATTCATGAAAATTGCACTGGGTATACTCTGGTATAAAGCCTTGGAGACATTTATTTTGGTAATTATGAATTAATAAGGGATATACTTTTCTGCAATGTGGGAGTTTGGGATATTAAATGTTAAAATTCAAGGAGTATCATCAATATTATTATTTCTGGACCAAAATGTATGTATGCTATAGTTGGATGCCCATGCTCTGACCTACCATTTTTATTGTTAAAATAACCTCCCTAGTTCCTTTGCTGAATTTCTATGTCAATATTAATAATCTAGATGCGAGTAGAAATAATTTCTTGATTTATGTCATTTATATTCAAAATTCAGTCATAAGTGATGTCATGTTTGAAATCTACATGCAAAAGATGTTTTTTAAAATATGGTTTTGAAAATTGTTTATCAACTTTGAAAATTTAAGGTTTTTTTGAAAATGTGACTTCTAGTTCAGGTTGATTTCCCATAGACCCCATGTAACAAAATCACAAGAAGTGAAATATCTTTTCTTGTATTGGACAGATAACATTTTCTTTTACTGGGCATGTTTTAATTTGCATAACTATTAGATACATAAGGGAAATATGAAAATTAAACCACTAAAACATGTACGAGTCACCTTGTGGTGAAACTAACTAACCTACTCGCATCTGCGTTATTGTATAGTCTATCCACCACATTGACTGGATAAGCATAATTGAAAAAAGTCAATTTTGAGATTAAGTTGAGATTAAGTGAACGGTTGGGGCTTTGGTAGTAAAATATATGTTATTTATTCTTTCAGAACCTGCCATTTGATATCAACAATAGGACAAAGTTGACCTTATACTTTGCCTTGTTCTTTGGCACTGGATTCAATGCTCCATTCGTCCTTGTCAGGCACCAGCTGTTGAAGAAATAATCCAATGAGATCTTAGGAAATTGTACATAGTAAAAGGTGGGATTTGGCTCAACAAATATAACTTGTGTAAAATTTTCTACTTCGTAAATTAGAGTTGTATCAATAAAAAATGTGTTTTAAATTATATATTATAAGTCACTGAACAGTAAATACCAAAGTGTAACTGACACAATGTAACTTGCATAAGTAAAATATCTGTATGTGAAACACTTTCTGTTACAAAGTTTGCTAAGAGTTTTCTCTGTGTCATATTGGTATATGACCATGATTTAATATGAACAACCTGCAGTATGAACATTTTTACTCAGTCCCACCAACGTGTACTTCAAATAAGTTTTACTGTACATGTAAATATGCTTTAGTGACAATCGAAATGTAAAATAGTCTTTTAAAAATACCCCTTCTATTTTCCAGGTTGAACACTGCACCGTTTTAGAGTTATACATCCAACAATATGACACCGATGTCAACAGAGAACTTTTACTACACAACATTCTTAGATGAATATTTATTGCAACAAATCTAGCAAACACTGGACAATTACTTTAAATTAAGGATCAGAATCAAAATTTTGCATAATTAATAATTCCTGATTTTATTTTGATTGTGTGCTGTGTTTGTTCCAACTGAAAGTCCTGAATAAAGACGACAATATACAGTAAATAACAGATGTGTCCTATTATTTTATTTTATGGATAGAAGAGAGAGATTCAAGGTAAAAAATGTTTTACGGTGAACACCAGAAGATGGATAAAGAGCAAAACATTCCAAATTCTAAAACCTTCTAATAATTGTCCTTTATTGATCTGAATTTGGAATTGTATTGTAATCAAATTGAAATGTAAATTAATAACTAGAAAAACTGCAACCACCTTTGAGAAACGCTCCTAAACAAAACATATCAAATAACTCTTCAATTTGAACAATACTTGATAGAAATAACTAGTACAGTAGTATTGCCTCCTTTTGGCAAAATGCACAACCATGAATCCATGATGGGACTTGATTGCGTATTACTCCTTCTGAAGTAGAAGTCCCATGACCATGAGGCAGTAGCCTAAAAGGATATTTGCATTATCAGAAAAATATATTTCTTCTGAAATGGTACTTAATTTGAATTTAGCAGCCATATTGAAAATTCCTTCTCAAGCAGATCCTACACCCAGAAAGCAATAGCATATAAAAGTTAAACCAAATCTGTCAACTGGAGTTTGAATTATCACCCGAATGGATGGATGAATGGCTTCTCTATATTCTTACATAGAACATGATTATTATCCCATCCGGATCGAACAAAGTGAAATACCCTTGGACCAAGGATGCACTTGCAGGGTTATTCTTGATACAATTTCGGGGGGACAAGCCGCTATAGAATGACTAAATGCCAATCTGTTGTACTAAATTGGTAGAAACTGGAAAATCCAAATAAGATAAATGAGAAAGCTCATCTAGATTTGGAGGATAAAACATAATGAAATGGTTAATTACATATTTTTGTAGCTTGTGAACCTCAGTAAGCAGACGAGATCCTCAAAGGTTACACTCTCACTTTTCAAATTGTATAATTGCAAATTGCATCATTTTTTCATCAAAGAATACTCTGAAGTTCTTGTTTGATCAGCTAATTAGTTAATGAAACGGTGTAATGTATGTTATGTGATAAAACATAAGCTGACACTGTGTAATACAGTGAAACATGTAAAGTGAAACACTTCTGTAAGTGGAACACTTTTCTGACTGACTAAATGTTAAAAGAACCTCTATACCTCCCAAGTGGAACACTGTTTAGAGGTACCAAAGGTGTTCCACCTATACAGGTTGTACTGTGGTACTTAATGTAACACTTTGTCTATTATGTGAGATGAAATGTCATGTTAAAGCATCTTGATCAAACTTTTCAAACATTTAATCTTAATATATATACCAGTGATCTGGTAATCAGAAGCTTGTTCAGTTGAGAAAACAGTATAACTGTATATTCATGCAAAATGATATTTGAAATGGATAATATTTTTACTGTAAATTTTGATGCTGTTGAACAATGGAGTCATCCATTACGATACCACCAAAATTTCAGTGACAAATTCTCGGGAAATCCCCTTGTTTCGTGTCCTGAAAGAAACCAGACCTTTCTTAGATTTAATATCTGAGATTAAAGTCCTTGAACAGTCACCATATACTGTTCCAGTTTCATCATATTGTCCACTACGAAGCTGACCTTTTCATGTCTATAGCTCAGCAGTTGTCACAGCAGTATTCACTCCACACGTTCCCTTTCCACGGCTGATCCTAAAATATCCATTCTCACCCCAGCTAGGACCCCAGGAATTCTTAACCAACCAGTAGTCTGTTGTATGGAACCATCCCTTATACTTTCCAAAGCCGACCAGAAGCACTGCATGGTCAAGCTCATCAGGGGGACAGAATGTAGCCCAGGGGTCAAATACTCCACTATGGTAAAACACAAGGAGTTCAGCATTTAAAGCGATTGACAGTGGTCCAAGTTTGATGAGTTGTTCAGCGATAATTGTCTCATTGCTATCAACAGCTTTCCAGTTGGAGACCTTCAAGCCAGGGATGAATTTGCTTCTATCCAGGACGTCACTACAGGTTTGGTTGCACCAGGGTATAGGAGGTCCACATAGGGTTTTATTAAAGCCTTTAGCCTGGCACATGAAGCACTGACCTGGGGCCCCTCCAAAGCCACTACAATATGGTAAGCTCTTATCAGATTCAATCCCTCCAGCCCGTATGACATACTGGTAAGCAAGGTATGGCCATCCACCAAATATTCCACAGTCGGCATGGTGATGTGCTGCATCTTTTGTCCCTAGGAGAAGGAAATCACATTACTATTATTCAGATGCTCTGCATTTAAGATGTACATTGTACTCTTGTGTTATATTTCTGTTGAGGATGATAATACTTGTATGCATTGAATTATGTTAACACTGGAGTTATCAGCAAGTTGCAATAATTTTATACTGATGTCATTTTAAATACTCCAGTCTTATTGGTTAATAAGTATTTTTTATACAAAACTGATTTAAAGGGGCTCACAAAAATAAAAATATTCAATTCCTTTTGAAATGGTTACTCACATTAAAAATCAATTTTTCAAACTGAAAAGTATTTGGTATTTTAGGATTAGAAATAAGTAGGCATTGAGTAGCTTTAAAGTTGATGGTGATTAAACATTTAAAGTGGTTGTGCCATGGGTGTTCAAGACTGCCCATAGTTGTACATAACTGTGCAAAAGTCTTACCATCACAATCAACGATCTGCTCCACCGAAAGATTTGTCAGTGTGTGCCCAGCTAGAGCCCAGATACCTTCTAGGTTGCCAACTGTACTGAATGCCCAACATGATCCTGCTGACCCTTAAGAAGAAACAAAATTCTTAGTTTAATGTTTATTTGATTACGTCAATGGTACATACATGTAGGTGGTCAAGTAATATGCAAATTTCTGAATCACAGCAATTTTATGATGCGCTTGCTTCTGTTTCAATAAACTCGGAGTGCTTTATGTGGCAGAGCAGTTTTGAAAAAAATAACTCAGTTGTTACCTTTCCCCAAAAAGTCATATATGATGTTGAACATAGACTCCATTGTTAGTATGTACATGTCATTCGATTATTTCTGATTGGATAAACTGGTACTAGTGTAACGACCCTTGGGCACACTCGTCGGGGAGCTGTAGTGTACCGAGCCAGATACTAGACTTGAAAGAGAATGTGCTAAATTCAATGCCCCATATAGGAATCGAACGTCAGACGCTCTACCCCTAAGCCATAAGGGCTAGCCACTACAGCTGAGACTGTAGTAGCGACTTGCTATCGAAGGTCATTACACTAGTATCAAATAACTAGTATACAGTCTATCCTGCCTCCACCTCTTAGAACACTTTTATTTGGGTTTACGTACATGTACATGTAATAGATCCATTTAAGTAAACTGGATATTTTCCCCAATTTAGTACTAAACTTTAAACTAACTTATGTTTAACCCAGTCAAATCATATATAGGTGAACAGAACAAGATTGTATACTGGTATATTGCAGTGGCGTAGGAACAATGTACGCCAAAACGCCAGTGCGTAGTGTTGAAAAGTGAGAATAAAAAAGACTTTTTAACTTTCCTATGTTCTTTAGTCATATTTTCTCATTGTATTGTGCAAAAGTAATCTCGAGCACACTAGTCTAAAGAAATGTTTTGTGGATACCATATCATTATTGGTCTGTCTGGCAAATATCATTTAACAGATTGAATTCCCTTACCAACATGCTTTATTTCATGAAAATCGAGCCACTATTGACTGTCTTATAAATACAATTTCGCCAAATATTCGTGAATCGCGTTCTCTTCACGAATTTGAGAGGAAAACTGTTTTTTTTTCAAAAACTACTTGATGAATACCTTTGACATTTTTTCTGCATTTTCCGTAATGCTTATGCTAACTATGGTATCATATAATTATAATGATGAACCTCTTTAAATTTAGATGTATATTTTTTTATTCTTCCCTACCCCAATTTTTCAATTTCACTATCGATTTATATTCCGTTGCTATGCAAAATCATAGACACGAAATTATAGTTAAGTCAACAATTATCTATCTTCTTACTAAATCACTAATTGTTATTGGTAGTACTTTTTGAAATATGGATGTTAAAGACAAAAACAACTTGAAAATGCTGATTATTCAATTACATGTTCCATTGGTTTCAGTTCTAGAAAAGCGATTACCTAGTTTTTTTTCATTTGAAAAATAATAGATTCTTGTTTTATAACATCTTTTGGCATCCCCTAACACCTAAGTCACGTTGAACTCGATTTGACCTTTGTGGTAAGTGTGTTTATTTGTTTCATTGATCACGAATGCGTTTCTTTATATCAATTGATCAAACTAGTTTCTTTAATCTGTACGTATTATATTGCACGGTACACGATGGAATCCGACAATACTATATATCTTAATTCAATTATTCGAAAATGATTAAAAAATCTCTAATTGATTTTTTGAAATTGGTCGTTTCAATCGTTCGAGACATTAGCAAAGTGAGAATGATTTGTGTCGAGATTTAAAAGATAGGCTTTCCAAGGTGATTTTAAATGATGAAAATCATTCGAACATTTAAAGCACATTAAAAAGGTATCAGGGATTTAAAGCTTGCATATGAAATCGAAACGCCAACCTATACGTATGACCAATCGCCCATACAAATGCATCGCTTAAGTATTTCCGTTCACATTTAGGTTGTGAATATTGCAAGCTTAAAATATCTGTTACCATAAAATGACGTTTTACGAGCATAATATAGGCGTTTTGATATAGAATATTGACACAATTGTTTCATATTTTTTGGCGGGATTTTTGGCGTAGTGTTGAATTTACACCTTCCTACGCCCCTGTATTGTACCTTGGTTTTTCACTGCAGTAACAACACCATGGTCCCTCCAGTCAAACTCAGCAGGTAATGTCACATGACCATGATTCTGTACTATATAGCGCTCCTTCTCAAACACAGGCGCCTTTCTTTTTGGCATCAAAATCTTGGATTTCATCTCATCATGCGAAATGTCAGCAAAATGATTCAAGGCAAATTCAGCATCTTTGTTTTGGATATTCAAATTTTTAATGGTTTCCAAATTGCCTTTAAATATTTCAAATCTTTTGAATTCTTCCTGAGATGTCTTATACCATTTGTCATTGAACCTCACCCATAGCTTCCAGAGGTCATATGCCTCACTATTGTTAACACTTCGGTAGCGGTAGTTGTGCAGTGAAAATAATTTTTCCGACGCCATTTCCTTGTCAAAAATTCTAGCAACTTTGGCACCAAATAAGGTTACTATAACAAGTGTTTTCACAAGTAGATTGTGTGCCATGATTGTCTCTGGATGTTCATAAACCAATATCACTATAAATAATTCGTTTGAATGTCAGATGTAAGTAATATGAAGTGAAATTTGAACCTTTGTCTCGTGACATTTACATTGTTTATAAATTCCCAGTATAGAACTTGTATGCCGTTATAACATAAAGCGCTATAGCGAAAACGTTTCGTCCAGTGCTACAATGTCATAGTTTAATATGGTTTTATCTTCATGAACTGATCAGTTGCAGTAATCATGTTAAAGTGACAACCATCCTGTGGCACACCCAGTGATGACCCTGTCATGCCTATTTTGTAAGTCCATCAGTTCTGGTCAGAAATTGGAAATATCGCAAGGGAAAACTCCATCTTTGAAATTTTTGCTTCCAACATTTTACACTTTCCAGTCTCTAATGTCACTTAAGATCATGTGAAAATCAAAATCGAAACTTGAAATCACAAAACTGAAACAACAGTGAATTGTGAACAGGACACCTCAATGTAAGACTGTAAACAGATAGATTTACAATGAACTTCTCACTCAATTTTTTTGTCATTGGATTTTCATCACTTTACTTTTCATTTTTGGTTCGACAGACTGTAGTTAGACTTACATGCTAGATGCTCTTATATGAACAGATGGACTTATTGAGACCTCTTAGACTTACTGGTGGAACAAATGTATTTGCCAGAACTGCCAATGAACTCAACCTTTATAAAATACCAATTGCTGAATTACCGCCTAATATCAAAAGTCTAAAAATATCTGTCATAACTGCGAATAAAATAAAATACCAATTGTACTGAATTACAGCTTTATATCACAGTCGAATAACAAACATACTATTTTATATATTTATCATTTTATCTTTTTATTTACTGCTTTTACAAAGTTGCTACACAATACATCTTATTGTATACAATTCATATCTGATTGTAAACAATAAATCTTATTGTGCATGATATACTTTATTGTATAATAGCTACTGTTATCCTTGAGAATAAGACATTACCAAAGTGAACAATAAAATACAATAACATATGTCACCACCAATCAGGAAGTGAGCACATCCCTACAAGTTTACAATTAAATTAATTGATTGCAAAATTTACTAGAAAACCTGAATATGCATGCAGATAAAAGAATGTTATTATTTTATACCCTCATTCATGCGTATCACTATTAAAATATGTCAACTTTGACAAGGAGGGGAGAGTCCCTCCTTCAAACACATTTTATAGGAGTTTTACACGTGAAACTAACATTTAGTCAATGTTTTCATATTCAACATCAATTTGCACAGTAAAACAATTTCGAGGCCATTTTTCTGCTTGTTTGTTTGTTAAGTTGGGAAAGGCAAGTTGTAAAATGACCTCATGAAAGCTAATAATTTACAGACCATACTAGACTTCTTGTGATAAAATGTAGCCGCTGTACACCCAAGTCTTGTTGTGCTAAGTGAAACCAACTAACCAGTAACATTCTAGACTTGCTGTTGTACAATGCAAACATGGCAACGCACTAGGTTTTGTTGAAACAATGTATGCATGGTAACAAACTAATCTTAATGTGAACAATGTAATTAGGTCACAAATTAGTCTTGATGAGATACAATGTAACCATGGTAACATGCTAGTCTTCTAATAAAATGTAACATGGTACCATGGTAACAAACTAGTCATTTAGTAAAATGTAACCATGACAACATACCAGTCTTGATGGGATCAAATGTAACCATAACACACAAGTCTTGTTGCTATAATATGTAAAAAATGGTAACACATTAGTCTTGCTACGACAATATGTAGCCAGGGTGACACACTCTACTGGTCTTATTTCAAAATGTTACCATTGTAACATAATGGTCATATAATGATATCTAACCATGGTAAATGAAGCATACTAGTCACTGCCATTATAAATGTTGTGCATTCTCACATTTCTAAAATACAGAGCTGAGTTACACTTTTTACATTTTTGCAATAAATAGTAAAATAAAAAAATTAGTGTGCCATGTATAAGTGAGTTGCACATTGAGATATACCAGTTACTGACTTAATATATTTGTACAGTACACTGTAGTTGTAAATGCCATAGGATACTATATGGAGGTATGTATCAGAAGTGCATGTAGTCAGTCAGTTGCACTAACTTTATCCATGAAGGTATACCAATGGAGCATTACAGTTAACCAATATTGCTTCATTCTGTCATTGGTAAAGATTAACCACAAAAAAGAATAAATATTTTATTTTAACCATGAAACTAGAAAAAAATTTTATCATAAAATTTTATGTATGTGACAGTATGAATCTGACAAACCACTGTCCATATCATTTATTAATTCTGCGCTGCACTTGGAGAAGGTGACTGAAATTTTGTATTTCATTTGCCTGATGGGGAGATGACCTGTTGACATTGCCTAGAAAGATAATGTTCTGATAACTTTATCTCAAGAGGGAATGCTTCAGTAACTTTGCCTCAAGAGGAAGTGTTCTGATAACTTTGCCTCAAGAGGAATTGTTCTGATAATTTTGCCTCAACAGAAAATGTTAACAAAATGAAAACAATGACAATGTAGTAGTAAATAATCTGGCTTTTCCTGCTTTAAAAATAGCTTTCATAATCATTATTACAAGTACATAAACATGCATAAAATGTGAAAGTAAGACTTGAAGACCACCTGACAAATTCCTAGTTTACTAAACTTACACCCCTTCCATAAGTTTTGCCCCTTTTGGATCACTTAGCAAATTCTGAATATTTGGAGATTTAAAATATTGGTGCTTGGAGATTTTAATTAAGAAATATAGACCAAAGAGCAGGGTTTCTAGTTTCGAATAACACCCCGCTGGTCTTGGCACAAACGTTTTCTGTACCCCGAACGACCGAAGGGAGTGAGGGGTTCGAAAGCTTTTGTGCCAAGACCAGCGGGGTGTTATTCGAAACTAGTAACCCTGCTCTGAGGTCTATATTACGATTCGAACATGAAAACTCACCAAATTGTTTCGAATATTCATCATGTTCCGCCATTACTACGACCCATCGTTATGACGTCACACATTACACATATTAACTGGGTTATTGATCTCGAATATAACCCAGCTGAAGCATTGACTTTGTTTACAGTTTATAGAAGGCGTGAATACAGTCATGTTCGAATTCATAATAAAAAACATAAATCTCAAATTGCTGTAATTAAGAAACAAAAATTAAGATTCAAACAAAGACAGACTTTGATTTGGTATCCAATGAAAACTTCTGATTGCCAAACTTATGGAGAGGAGTGTAACTTCACATGGTATTGAACATCAATTTAAATAAAAATATTCATAGGGCCTATACACAACTTGTGCTTTACTGCAATTGTACACAACCATGTCTTTGGACTTTACTATGACTATTAATCTTAGACATTTTATTCAATTGTGAACATATTGATTTTCAAATAAACTTTCATACATATATTTTTGAATTTACACACTCTATTGCTTCATCTATACTACAGTATAAACTATGTGTACTAGGTGAGGCAACTTTGCTCATCAAAGTTAATAATTACGATTTTTCCAAAAATTGTCAACGACATATAGGATGCTCTTTTATCAATCACTTGGCATTCTACATGGCATTTCAGTGATCCCACTGCAGAATATCAGCATGCTTACTAAACACACTAACTTACTGACTAATATCAATTGCGTTTGCATATTGTACATAATGACTACCATATGGTACATTATGACTGCAAGACTGTACATATGGTACATAATGACATCTACATTGTACATAATGACTACCATATGGTACATTATGACTGCAAGACTGTACATATGGTACATAATGACATCTACATTGTACATAATGACTACCATATGGTACATTATGACTGCAAGACTGTACATATGGTACATAATGACATCTACATTGTACATAATGACTACCATATGGTGCATTATGACTCCTATACTATACATAATAATGACTACCATATGGTACAAAATGACATTTACATTGTACATAATGACTACCATATGGTACATTATGACTGCTATACTGTACATAATGACTACTGTATGGTACAAAATGAATTCTACATTGTACATAATGACTACCATATGGTACATAACGCCTGCTACATTGTAAATAATAATGACTGCTATACTGTACATAATGACTGGTTGTGTATAACACAAAATCTTCCATGGCTCAATAACTTGGAGTGACAAACCCATTTTTCACAACCCGATTTTGTTCATTTGAGTCATTCACATATATGCAACATTTTGGCAACAGTTAGCGCTTAGCTGCAAAATAAAGTTTCAATTGTGTCCATATAAATAAATGGGGGCTAATCGGGTCATCTCATTAGTTTGGGTAATTCCTTGGGGTTGAGCACTCTCTTTATCTCTTACAAACTGTAATGCTTTCATTTCATAGTCATATATTCGAATGACCCCAGATTTCTAAGTGATGTGGACAATTAACAAAAAAATTAAAATATTACAAAATAAATACAACTACATCCACAAATATTAATACATGATAAATACTGTACTTCTGGACACCTACACTGATTTCATTGTAATGATAATAAAAAAATATCTGAAACCCTAAAACCATGAAACATTTCAATTGACAAATTGTACATTCACAGCCCCATGTTCAAGCAAGACTAAGTTGTGTGATAACAGTACACAATGACTAAATCACACTGATAACCACAAGTAGTAATAATACGGTGTGCAATAACAGTCACAGTGATAACTAGGTCTCATAAATAGGTCACATTGACAGTTAGATGTGATAACAGAACAGTGATAACTGAGTCACAATGATAACTAAGTAACATTTTGTATCCAATGTTGCAAATAAACAAAACAGATTAATGGATCCCACTAAAACATGATGAGCTGCCCATTTCCATCAAAACATCTTTTTCATTTGCTACAACTGAGCAGATACATACTAAGCTGTCAAAGCGGAGTCAATAAATTACAAAGCCATGATACGGATGTTTGAATTGTCACTAGGCCATGTAATACAAGTTTAAAATTGTCACAGGCCCATGCCAAACTACATGTTTAAATTACTAGGCCAAGGTATTGATGTTTGAAGTGTCACAAGACCATGTAATACATGTTGAAATTTTCACTAAGCCATGCAATATGTGTTCAAATTGCAACTAGCTCAGGAAACATATTTTAATTGTCATTAGGCTATTACTTTCAAAACACTAGTTAGTGTCCATATTATAATGCAGGCAGCCCAATCTCGATGTGTCTCTACAACATGAGGGAGCCAAATATTACCAACACAGATCCTATTCAGTTGTCTTGAACACTAAAAGTTCGATAAAATCCTGTTTGATCTCTTGGCAAGATGGAATTGTAGAGTCCCTGGGGCAGAAACAATCCAGTCTCAACACACGGCAAGATGCTCTACCACTATCACTTCTATGCTGGAAGAAGTAAATTCCTTCTGTCTCTTAACTACGAAGGGTAGATCCTATCCAGTCTCATCACACGGCAGGTTGTTTGCTGTTTCATGAAGGTTATAGACAGACCTGCGTCCTCACATTCCCTTTGTGAGACGACAGAGACATCTTTGTGAGACGACAGAGACATAAGAGTAGATTATGCATTGTTAACTTGCAAGGAGAGGTTGTGTGTGCAGATCTACTTGTTAGAGATAGGTCTGAAATAAACAAATGAGATTGTTAGCCAAAGAAATGAAGGAGTTTAGATGCAGAGTATACTGCTTACAGAAATATGTAGGTGATCCAAAATATATGTAAAATTAATATGATTCTCAAATGAAAACAAATTTCAGTCAGTGAGAAGTTTTCTACTTGTCGTTTAGGTATTTCCATATAATTTCTTAAAATTTCACTTCAGTTCATGTGTTCGACATTTCTGCTGTTCTATTACAGCGACTAGAGTACAATTTGAGGTTCATATTCTGCATCTAAATTCCAGACAGAAGCTGTATACTTATATATGGATTCATCATTTATTAAAAGTGCTGTTAGTTGTGAAGTTTGATATAAACCAAGAACGGTAGATGATAATAATTATGGTTGTGTATTGGATAAGTTATAGTTGTCTGAGTGACATGTATGTCTTGAGAACGACCTTCACATTGTTACCTGAATATTAACCACATCTTAGAGAGGTTGAAAGACGAAGAAAGGGGAAACACTAATGCTGATGTAATTTCCAAACTGTGACATGACTGATTGATTAAATTTCACATTAATTTGTGTCATGCTGTTAGGTTCTTATTGTAACTTAATTATATTTATTTTTCAATTGATTTGTAGAATTTCATTTTCCAAAGCCTTCACCAACAGACCAAGGTGAGAATATAAAGGGACACCAGTGCATGATGGGATAGCACCATGTGGCACCAGTGCATCATGGGATAGCAGGGGAGGTACCAAGCACCATGGGAAAGGATGTGTAGTTTGTGTACTCACTGGAAAAAAGCAAAAAATAAACAAAAATCAATTTAAATGATAAGGCACAGTACATTTATTACATTTATCAGCAGTGCCATTTGGAATATTTTCCGGCACATCAACAATCAAATGCTTCAATCAAGTCATCAATCTTACTTAATTCAGCTACTAAACATTGACTCGAAGCATGTGTTTGCAGTAAATCATACAAACTTGTGAGATTCAAACACAGAAAAAATGTTGAAGATATCTTTTAAGGTATCATTTAAAGCCAAGGTTTTGATTCTTATTGCATGCATAGGAGTAATAGAATACGAGTTGTATTTTATAATTTGACCAATTAGCAGAACAAAATTGATTTAAAAAAAACGTATCAACATGCATATTCTTTTCATGTAAAACATCCAAGCAGAGAAAAATTGAAAAATGTAACCACATACAGCCCACATATAACCAAATCCAATCCCCTAAAATCTCTTGTATCTCACAGATTTGTTACTTTGAAAGCTCAAGAACACTTAATACAATCTCTAAATCTATAAATGCAAATGCTGACAATTAAAACTTCTAAAAAATGAAAAAATAATCAAGGTGTTCAAATGTGCTCAATTTACTCCTACATTCTAGTCACAATACTGTAAGTATACTCATGTATTATATATCAATTTAAAGACAACAGAAACTGGCATTCTTTTATTCTATATATCTAGTTGATGGTTGAATGATGAATGAATGTCCAGTTGTTATTCAGTTATATTGTTAGTGTTGTTATTCCAAGCATAGCTGGTTATCTTGTAGATAATGTTATTAAAGAGAGATGAAAAAGCACTAAAAGCTCAGAGACAATCCTCAACAATGCAAACAATGAAAGCGGACAAAAAACATAAAACTGAATACTGGAAGTTACAAGACAAAAACAAAATGCAGACAAAAAAACAATAATACAAATAAGTAACAAGGTAGTTACGATTAATGCAGAAAAAAAACAATCATATAAATAAGTTACAAGACAAAGCATTGATGCAGAAAAAATAACGATAAATGCAAAAAATCTGTAATTAAGTACCAAAACAAAAAATGTAAAAAGGACAAAAATATAAATAAGTAAACAAACAAGACAATAATAAATAAATAAATGAGATCAAGACCCAGTAGAATCTGAAGTTTGGTTGCAATGAATATCCTTAAATTGTCATTTTCAACTTCAGATTTTACCAAAGTTGCTACTAAAAACATTTCAGGGCATTGAAGTCAACCTTAAATAATTCCAACAATTTCACATTTTTTCATGTTCTCATAAATTTGGATTGAGCCTCATCTTCATACCAAAGAAGATTTGGTCCAAACAGTTCACTCTGTTTACAACCTTTACATTAAGGTTGTTCAAACTTTGAAAGAGTTTCTTTTAGGGAAATTTATTTCAGCATTTTAATCAAAATGTTTTGATTTTTGAATATGAATTCTACCACATTGGGTATTATCCATTAGATACAAAATTTTGAAAAAATGACTATGATAATGAAAATTACTCATTAATTCTCATTATGTGGAACTAGCTTAAAGAAGACATGTTGACCATGAAATGTTTCCAGGTAGAAGTAAGAATAGCTTACCACAGGAGAGTTGATAGTCTATGAACCATGCAAGTAGACGTGTATGTTAGTAATCTAGGTATGTGATGCGTTTCATTGATGGCCGTTTGGTGCGAGGGGTCTTGAGGAGCCCATTCTGAGAGGGGGCTTGCCCTGGGGGTGCATGTTTGGGGGTGGAGGTACGTTGAACCCACTAGAGTACAGGGAAGTAAGGAATACCAAATTATTACACCAGGATCTCAGGATTAAGATCCTGGTAGTTAATAAGTCATTCATATTGTTTCTTTTGAATACCTCTTTTAGGGAGAAAAACATTGGTAAGGATAGAAGATTCACAGTGTTTAATGATTCTGGGTTGTGAGGTAGAACAAACCACGATGTGCCCGGAGAGGAGATTTGTTTTAGTGTTTCCAAGGGTTCTCATCATTTTATGACATTTTTATGGCTGTAATATTTGTGGGTTCTACATTTTAGGCCTTGACAGTAAAACATCAGATTTTCACATGCAATTTACTTTGGCGATTACTGTACACCTCGAAAACGGAAAAAAATAGATGCATGTGAAATATAAGGGTTATACAGTATTTGAAATATTTAAAGAAAAATCAAATTCAGGTTTGAAATATGTGTTTGAGTCTCTATTTTTTGTAAAAGTCCATTGTTTTCCAAGTTTAAAACCTCCCTCCATTGTAAAATCAGAATAGAAATTAAACATCAACTCAAAATAGTGTGAGAACAAAAACAAAACAAAATTCAAGCAATATGATAATAATTAACTCAAGAACTCATTACATGTAGAACCAAGCAAACTTGTTTTATGTTTGAATCAAAACCTCACATCTAGCAAGAAAAGTGATTATACTTCAGTTTGTGAAATGAAGTTAACTGAAGTCAAAATAATGACTTAGAATGCCAGGAACATTTGGAATGTACAAAGTCTCATGTTATTTCAAGATGAGGAACCAAGCCTTCCTATTTTAGAGGAATATAAAAACACACAGATCACTTTGAATTTTAAAAACTCCTTAGTATAATGTTGCTCATCAGTCAGTTAAGTAACCCTCAAGAATTTCAATGAAGCTATAGATGATGAAGACTGCACTGAAACTGTTAGGCCAGAATTAACTATCAATGATAACATAAAGCAACAATGCTTTTATGATTAACACCTGAGAGAACCTCTAGCAGAGCAATAGGTAAAAGCACAGAAGACCAGTTACACTAATACAGAAAACATCATGTCACTGAACATGTGGACAAAAATGAGGATTCTGAGATAGACAGACGTAAAATAGTTCATTATCATTAGTACTGATAAGTAAATGATGAAGTTCAAGCCAGAATTTATTAAATACCCAGTGCCAGTCCATCCAGATTTTTCGCCGTTTATTTGTTAAACTAGATTAAGACGTGAGCCAAGCACTTCTAAGCCCTGGCGACAAAACACCAAAATGAGATCATAGAACGTTGAATTGTGAGGCATTTGTAGGACAGATATTACACATTTGTTTCAATAGTAAAGGTTTGCGAAAGACACAGAGTTGAAGATTTGACACACAGTTCCTGACATCCTAAGCTTGTTACACGTACCATTATTCTACACCCAATGGACCTGAACAATGTAGGCAATTATCATTAGAATACTTTTAATATTATGAAAGTTAATTGTTCAGTATTTGTTATTTCCAAGTTGCAAATATTATACAGAATGAACTTGTCTTGTATTTGTGTATGATATGACAATGTTATATGGGGTTATATTTTTATTCATGTTGATCATTAAATGTTTAAAATATCTTTATGTTAATGTTCAGTCATTTTACTAAGTTGTGTTTAAAAGAGTGCATGCATGATAAGTTGAGAACAATTTCAAAGATATAACATTTTACTTGAATATTATAGTTTGGTGGTATTTTATAAAAAAAACTCAAAACAAAATCACATGTCAACAAATAAAAGCTTTTCATGATATTTATGAGAAACTTCACAAATCCTAGAGGGCTGGTTCAAAATATCATTTTAACATCAATTTAACAAAGGCTAAGACCTTTACTTTTTACTTTTTCTTTTTTAACCCCTCCCCCTAACATAATTTCATATTTTGCAAAAGTTTGACTTGTATCTCAAAAAGAGGAATGTGGCTAGTAATTCACTGATAGCCTCTGGTTTCTATGAATAATTTAAATAAGTGTTACATGTAAGAGTATGACATGTAAAATAAATTATATTTTACTTGGGGCTATTTTATGATCAAGACAAAAGTTAGCACAACTATGTACAACATTAATGCAAGATAAGAGTGGACACCATGGAATAAACTAATAGTTTCATTATCATCTAACAGTTTATACAAAAAAGTTCTGTATGTATATTCATTAAGATTTGTGAAATGGAAATCCACTGTATTAGGTGTCAGGCTGCTTTCAGACTACAGAGAAAATGTTTTTTGAATTTTAGATAGAATAACACTATGGAAGTCCTAAATTGATGTGCATTTCTGCATTCCTGACAATAACCGACCAAGCACTTATTTTAGTTTATTCCAAAGGTGACCAGTAAAGACTAGAAGATCAGTAGACTAGAAGACTAATCATGATGCAGAATGCTTTAATCTATCTATGAAGCAAAAAAATACACTAGCGACCTACCACTTCAGTTTCCGTATTCTCCTCTTCCTCTTTGTCGTCACCTGACTTCTCCAACTCAATAGATTTAGAGGCTGGAGAATTACTGGGTTCACCTGCCGTCATGAGTGATGATGTCATAATGGTTGTCTTCTCGACTATTGTTTGTGCTGTAGTGTTGATGGAGCCATCTGTAATGTCAAAATCTGAAGTGTCTGAAGTGAAACAGTAGTATTGTAAAGAATATTTATTGTAAAGAATATTTATTGCCTCATTTATTCAAGAGAACATAAATGTCAACAACATGTATATGAATATCCTTGAACATCCAGTATAGCTCAGTTAAAAATGAGTGTTGGTTCCATACTCCAGGCTCATAATATCCAACTGAGTAAATAAGGTGTCTGCATAATGGTATTTGCACAAAATGAACAAGGCATTAACATGACAAAATGTCACCACCTAAAACAATTTGGTCAATTTAAAGCAAGTTGGAAAATACCTTTTGACCTTAAGAAGGTTTGATTTGAACTTCTTAGAACATGTAGATGATTTTGAAAAAAAAATTCTTCAATTTGAAGCAAGTTGAAAAAATACCTCTTTGACTTTTTTTGACATTGAGAAGGTCATTGAAGGTCAAATGTCAAATCTAAAGTCAGATTTGAACTTCTGAGAACATGTAGATGATTTTGAAAAAAAATTAAGTAAATTTGAAGCAAGTTGAAAAAAGACCTTTTTTACCTTTTCAAGGTCATTGAAGGTCAAATGTCAAATCTAAAGTCAGATTTGAACTTCTGAGAACATGTAGATGATTTTGAAAAAAAATTAGTCAATTTGAAGCAAGTTGAAAAAGACCTTTTTGACCTTGAGAAGGTCATTGAAGGTCAAAGGTCAAATTTAAAGTCAGATTTGAACTTCTGAGAACTTGTTAAGTCAAATTTGAACTTCTGAAAAGATGTAGATGATTTTGAAAAAAAAATTGGGTCAATTTGAAGCAAGTTGAAAACAGACCTTTTTGACCTTTTTTGACCTTGAGAAGGTCATTAAAGGTCAAATGTCAAATCTAAATTCAGATTTGAATTTCTGAGAACATGTAGATGATTTTGAAAAAAAAATTAGTCAATTTGAAGCAAGTTGAAAAAAGACCTTTTTGACCTTTTTTGACCTTGAGAAGGTCACTGAAGGTCAAATGTCAAATCTAAAGTCAAATCTAAAGTCATATTTGAATTTCTGAGAACATGTAGATGATTTTGAATAAAAAATTTAGTCAATTTGAAGCAAGATGAAAAAATACCATTTTGACCTTTTTTGACATTGAGAAGGTCATTGAAGGTCAAATGTCAAATCTAAAGTCAGATTTGAATTTCTGAGAACATGTAGATGATTTTGAAAAAAAAATTTAGTCAATTTGAAGCAAGTTGAAAAAAGACCTTTTTGACCTTTTTTGACTTTGAGAAGGTCATTGAAGGTCAAATGTCAAATCTTAAGTCAAATCTAAAGTCAGATTTGAATTTCTGAGAATACATAGGTGATTTTGAAATTTTTTTTTAGTCAATTTGAAGCAAGTTGAAAACAGACCTTTTTGACCTTTTTTGACCTTGAGAAGGTCATTGAAGGTCAAATGTCAAATCTTAAGTCAGATTTGAATTTCTGAGAACACGTAGATGATTTTGAAAAAAAAATTTAGTCAATTTGAAGCAAGTTGAAAACACACCTTTTTGACCTTTTTTGACCTTGAGAAGGTCATTGAAGGTCAAATGTCAAATCTTAAGTCAAATTTGAAGGTCAAATGTCAAATCTAAAGTCAGATTTGAATTTCTGAGAACATGTAGATGATTTTGAAAAAAAATTTAGTCAATGTGAAGCAAGTTGAAAAAAGACCTTTTTGACCTTGAGAAGGTCATTGAAGGTCAAATGTCAAATCTAAAGTCAGATTTGAACTTCTGAGAACATGTAGATGATTTAGAAAAAAATTGAAGTCAGTCTAAACAGTATTTGTTAAGTTATAGGAAGTTGTAAGAAATTGTTACAGACGCCGGACGCCAGACGCCGGACGCCAACCACCAACCGCCGTCGCAAAAAAACAGAGACCATAACAATATGTCACCACTTTTGGTGGTGACATAATAATCAAAACCAGGGGCGTCAGAAGGATTTGCCAAGGGAGGGGGCGACTTTTGGGTATGGAGGGTTATGCGTGAAGAGCGCCGCACTAGGGGTATCAGGGAGCATGCCCCCAGAAAATTTTCAAAAGACCCTCTCTGGTGCATTCTAAACATATCTCAGGACAACATTCCCAATAATAAAAACAAGAAAAAATGTGTTTTTAGGGGGGGTAGCCAGTCGCCCCCAGTGGCCTCCCCCTTCCGACGCCAATGAAAACTTCCAGTAGATCAGCCCGATATCATAGCGAGAGATTATTGTATATGCAGAATATGTCCATGTTTTGATTGAGGATTACTCACCTAAAACGTCACTGGAGCAGCTGGGACTAGAGGCAGTGTAGCTAGGGGTACCCTCAGTGAACTCTGTGTGGGTGGGGGTTGACTCAGACAGACTGTGTATAGGGGAGCGGCTAGACTGGATTTCACTATCTGCAGTATGGTAGGATGATGTTGTATTTGACGAAGTGATACTTTCTTGGGTCCTGTAACATGGAATAGTTTGAAATTCTAGAATTCAAACAAATTAACTTTCCTAGAATCAATAAATCATCGTTTAAGTGCATAACAGTTCATTTGCTTATGTCTGAATATCTTGGTTTAGAATTTTAGATTTTTTTGAGGGCAATTTAAAAATTTAATTAGCAAAATGAGGTCAATTGCTTCAAAATTTGCAAGAAATACAAAATTCTCCATTTTCAATATTTGGTTCACATCCACTTTTCCACTTACTTTGACATAGTTGCTGAAACTGCTGAACTTGACAATCTAACACTAACTGCTGGCTGCCCATTGGCTGACACCCTGTCATGTGACATCCTGTCATGGAGAGCCTCGGCTTGCGACTCCGCAAATGTTGGTGGTGGCGTTGATGAGGTTGGTAATAAATCTGGCCTGCCACCTATTGCACCTGTGTTAAGTTAAGTTGACCAATCATTAAAAATAACTAAATGAGAAACAAGACTATACCAGTTGGCCAGTGCAGAACCCTGCATGCACGGCTAGTTAAACTACAGACAAAGCTCTCTTTTACCAAGCGAAGTCAAACGAATGCAAAGGGTACCAGGGCAGTTGGCCTTAATGAATTTACAGAAGACCTACTGTTCATAGGAAATACATATGACATCATACGAAATAAGGAACAAGGTCAATATATTTAAAATCCAAACATGGCAACCTTTACATTTACCCAGCATACTAAAAACAACATATCGATTCTAGATCTTCCTCTCTGGAAACACCCCTGGAAATTTCAAATGAATCCATCGAGTAATTTGCCTTGAAGTTGAATGCAACATCCGCCATAAAAATAATATTACATCCACAAATAACGTAACATCTAAATTAGAAAAATAACCTACCTCTTTCATCATTTGGACCTAAACTACTAGTTCTGAGTTTTTCTGGAGCTCTGGTTTCTGTCTCAGTCATAGACCTGTTCCTAGAGGCTCCCTTTTTCTTAGATGGGGAATGCTTCAGTGCTAGAAACAACAATGCAAGTTCACATATATATACGAGGGTACAATAATAAATTCTCATAAAATAACTTGAACATTTTTTTATTTTAATATTTATACCCGAGTTTTCAATCACATACTGTACATGTATATGTCAATTAGCTATGATGCTTTACCTCGATTTAATAACATATTATTATGTAGTGGATTTTATGAAGAATAAATACTGGTATGAGAGTTTATTATTAGATCTGCTATATTCAGGGGTTTATTGAGTCCGTTTAGTTTCAGTAATGTTTTTAAATGTTTGTGCAAAATTAGATTTCAGTTGTTTTCATCTTTTTATATGTCATAATAGATGCTGCAGTATCAAAATCAGAAAAATTATAATTTTTGAACCAATTTGAAGAAAAGAAAGAAGCTACATGTAATTTAAAAATAGTTATTGAGATATTGAGAGCAAAATTATCTTTGCCAAAATTAGATTTACAAGAAAAATTATTTTTAAGATATATGGAATTAAATCAACTTAATGGAAGATGAAAAGTCTGCTTCCCATAGAATCTACATTTAGAAAACTGTAGGAAATAATTGACCAAATTAACAAATAAAGGTCAACTTTGAGATATGTTATCCTACTATAAGGATAGTATAAGGTGTTCAGAATTTGTGAATGTACAACAGGCACCTACCTATATAATATGAAATATTATTATATACCCCATATGTATACAGAATTCTCATAAGCTTATTTATGATTATGATGGTATTTCATGATATGGAACAAATGCACAAATTCCCTGGAAGAATCTAAATCAATGCCAACAGGGAAATGAAACATACTAATGACCAGTTATGTCATGTGACAAGTCAAACAAGTTTAAACTAGTTCAACTAGTTCAATCCTTTGTATGCCTGTAAGAAGCCACCAGCACAAGGAATCATGTTAAATTGTTTTTTATGAAATACATATTGGGCACATAATAAAACAAATAGTGACTGCCATATTTTCGGGAATTATTAATGGATAAAAGGGCAGGAATATCTCTTGGGGAAATTATTTTTTCACTATTTCCCTCAATGGCAGCTACTATTCATGCGATACATTTAAGGCAACAAAAAATCCCTTTCCTTAGAGAAGTCAAGTTAAGTAAAATATCAGAAGTTGTACTATGTTCACAAACACCAAATCCACAACAAATTTAATGAAATGAACATTCTGTCATTCAGTCATTTTGAGTAACTAAACCACTAACTATTGTGAAAAGTTCAAGAATGAGTTACCTGAAACTTTGATTGGTGATGGGAAAAACAAAATTAACAATAAGCAGCATGAAATATTTGAATAATGTCCAATAATGGAAATGCATATACATTGGGTTCAATTATTTATATTGAGACTGAATTCATTTTTTCAAAATTTAGGGCACAAACATCTAAATATCAATAAAATGGAATTCATAAGAAAATGTAAATGCAAGTCAACAAAATATGCAAGTCTCTCATATGCAAGCATAAATATTATTCATAGATACAGTACTCATTTTGTTGTTACGGAACATACATTTTCTTTGTCCTTTAAAAGGAATACAATATGTACTGAACAATGTAGAATGTTTTATGATTTAATAATGATAATATTTAAACACAATTGTAAAACAGTAAAACAGTTTGAACATGCTACAATATTTAACTGACAGAAGTAAACACAAAAATGGAGATAGAGTAAGTAATTTTTATTGACTTGAACCATGCCTTTCATCTTGTAATATGAAAAATTGTAAAAACAAAACCAAACATCATATGTTCATTATTTCATGATTGCAAAAATGTGCTTATTTTGCTTGTGACTTTTCACCAGCATCATTATACAAAAAAAATTATAAAAACCAGAACAATTACTTATTTGTGAAGGGTGTTCCACATTTGTGTGTAGTGTAAGTATGCACTATTAGTGTGCTTCAATATGTACATACAACTGTGTGTGATAGTGAATTAGCATACTATGTGGTCATTCATCATGTCAATATGATACAACAAAATAATCTTCAATTATCAGACGGTTGCAGTGTTTTTGATTCTATATTTTTGTCTATTTTATGTCCTACTCAATATAGTGCTATCCTCAAACTCTATGCTTTTTAACTAATAATTGCTTTTGAATATTAACATCTAGTTTTATGCAGCAAAATTCCCATCTTTTAAAGAAGCAAGTGAAGTGCATTCTATCATAATAACATTACAGATTTCAAAATAAGTTAGGTAAATATATTCCTACTATAAATAGTATTGAAACATTGTAATACTGCACGAGCTCCTTTAAATATGATATGACAAAATTCAATTGATTCTTACCTTTTTGGAAAGCCAGACTGTCCGATACTGAGGTGATCAAAGAAGCATTAAAATCTCATTAATTGTTTCAAAATATGCTTAAAATAAGCATCCCTTTTCACCATATAATGCAAAAGCGAATGCATTTAGTATACCGCCATGGGAATACCACCTAAACACCTAAACAACAGAAGGACCTATGCAAACTCAAGGATTTGGAGATATACATGAGATAATTTGTCAGTCTTTCAAGTTGAAGGTGCCACAAATATATTAATTGAATATTCAATAATATTCATATCGATTTTTTATTTTGAATTTTATCTTTTAATATCCATATAAGGGGTGAAAAATTAACTTTGAACCGTTCAATTTCTCTGATATTGGTTGGAATTCCCTTGGTTGGTTGAGTTTAGTAAATGCCATGCTTCAACAGCCAATAAGAAGCTTTCCTGTATTCACTTCCTCGTGCACATATACAGCCTCATATATAGTCTCAGTTGAGAGGCCCTCATTTTAAAATGGTATGTTAAAGTTTGATATCAAGAATGAGTATGAATGAAAACCTGTGACTGCTAAAAATTTCAAACACATGAATGTAGATTTCAATTCAGATGACCTTCTTTAGAGCATCATAGATCTGATTTCACTTTTAAATGGAAATCACCACCATTAAATATTTTAATCACCATGTATATTTCCAAATACCATCTACAAATCAACTTCAACATCTCAACCTTGTCCCTCAAATCAAAGCTAAACAACCTAACACCAAAACCTAGAATTGAAGAATGGAAGGAAAACCATCATACCATGTGGAACAAAATCTTGAATGTGATTTTAAAGGGAAAGATGTTTCAATGTACTGTCCAGTCAAGATGAAAGAAGAAAATCATTCAAAATTGCTCAAGCCTATAAGCAACAAACACATACACAGGCCCCAGCCTTTTGAAAATATTTGACCCAGTTCTTGGGTAATCTATTATGAGAATTTAATGAGCATTTAATTATTTAAGTAAATGTTTTTCATATAGGACTGGACAGTACTTGAACATCTAGTGAAGAGTCACAAGCATTCTACAGCTAAACACTTCTCTCTTCTTACACCTTATTCAATATATAGCCTTAGTGTCAGAGCATCCTATGGCTCTGATTGCAGAAATAAATATGCAGTTTTAATGCTGTTAAGATCCTTACACCTCTAAAGAGGCTGCCGTGGACTAAATGAGGATTTCATCATTAAATGAATGTCATGTAATTAAGAAAGCATGCATAAAATTCAGTGAATGCTATTTTGGGTAGCTTTTGGTGATATACTGTTTAGTGTGGTCTCTATGGTAATTATGCCTTTGTATGTAAAGGACTTGAAGGCTGGTGGACATGTAGATCTGCCATGTTATAATTCAAAATATTACTGTTTTTAACTCACACAAAATGTCTATGTGTAGTATGGATAGGTGTGTACTGTGTAGCTTGAATGTGTGTGTAGCTTGAATATAAAATGCATTAACATGCAAAATGTCACCACCTGCCATTTGTTACAGATACTAACTGTCAAATACCAACCACAAACCATCAAACACCGTTCACAAAAAGTAGGAGACTATAACAATATCTCACCACTTGTGGTGGTGACATAAAAACATTGTATGTAAATGATGAATGTAGGATGGAAGTTCTTGCAAGTGAAGACCTAGTTACACACACTAAGAATTCTAAAGTTCAAAAATATTGTTTTAAGCATCATCAAATTGGTGTTTTTCAATTTATTAATCAGTTTAATAATTATTCATTAAATGGTATCATCATTAGCTGATATAAGATTCTGATTCAAAAACATGTAATTCATATTCTAATTTGAAGTATTTCTGATTTAACCATTTTGCACAATTTTAGATTATGAAAATGTAGTTTATATTCACGAAGACAGAGCAGCTACATAAGCTGGCTGTTTGATTTTGTATCAAAGACAATTTAAGCGCATTATATCATATCAGGCATGCAATGCTAGAAATCGTAAATTTGGAAGAACATATAAAATTCCATGCAGCGTTAAGAATAGCATTGAGTTAGTTCTGCATTACATCATGCAGTTAGTGCATTATTTTAGCCAGATCCCTATCCGGTCCACCAAATGTAACAACTCAAATGAAAAGACAGGGTGTACCAAAAGTACAGCTATGACATTGGTACATTAAATGCATGTTTCTGGCATCTAACAATATAATGTTTGAAACCCACTTGGCCGTTTGAGTAGAAACACAATTGGTAGACTTGAATCAATATTAAAAAACAAATACATGTAAACAACATTCAACTGCACTACAATAAACAAATGGTACAAGTACATTTGATGAATTAATGAGTTACAAATAGTGTTGCACTACTTTCAGCATTTGAAACTTCTATAACAAAATTCTTGTCTCAAGAGTATACTTGTATTGGTGTAGGCCAATTAGATTCATCATTCATGCTTTTCATCAGAATTTAGATGGCAAATATGTGCTACTAAACACTTCAGGGGCTCACTGAAAACATGCAATGATTGAATCTTATAGGCCTACTCCATTCATTTTAATACAAATGTTAAGAGAGATTGAAATCAGTTGACCAGAATAAAAACATTGCCATTAAATATCCAGTATATTCTTTAATATTAATCTTTATCATTAATTCAATGATGCAAAATCCTGCAGATAAAATGTGTCAAAATCAAAAACAATTTTCATTTTTTAAAATGACAGGATTATGCATTAAGGCCAAGAAAAGTTAAATGAGCTAAAAAGATTTCATTCTCTTGGCCTATTATAAGATTGAAATATTTGGTAGCATACCTAGATGGACAATTTTTCTAAACCGTTGGTGGGCGCCTTTGTACAATGTGTGATCAACTGTGAATGTGGGAAGAAAACAAGAGCAGATTGTTAGCATGTTAGTCAGCATAAACATAAGGCCATTGATACCAACATATAACACCAGCAAGATATCTCTACAGCAGCCACAACTGATAGGTGGGAAATATACTATAATTGAAAGGTGTTCCATACTTCGGAACACCCAGTATTTCTCTCCAATAAGGCGTCTCTGTAAGATACTTGCACAATATCTATGTTGATATGTGGGCCATATAAGGTGGAGATAAGTACTCCAATCACTTTTGCAAAACCTTGATGAATACTTAAACTGAAAGTCAAAATTGAGTTCCCCATATTCAACAAGGGATTGCATCATAGTGTACAGTAGTATACATAGTACACTTTGTGGTGTACTTTTGTAGACATAGTACACTCTGAAGTGTACATGGAATACATAGTATACTTACAAAACTAAATACTGAATTTTGAACAAAATACTCAATCGGCTGGGTGCCGGTCAATGGATCAAATGTTATGGCCAAATGTGACCAAGGCATTAGTGGTATACTTCTATATACATAATACACTTCAAAGTGTACAATGTAGGACATTCCATTGTATACTCTAGTACATGTAGTACACTTTAAAGTATACTGTAGTAAATAGTACACTTTGTAGTATACTGTAGTACACGTTAGTTTATTAGACAAAATAACATCATTTCATGTATCTTTACCAAATGAGGTCAAGAGTTATGAATCTACTTGTTCTTCTTTTTGAAATTCAAATGATATTATTTTCAATAGTACAATTTGGAAAGATAACAAGTAAAATATTTGATAAAATAATGTCATCATTTGACAGAATTACCCAGTTTAGAGTTCAATGAATTTGAGAAATCTAATATCATACTTGTATATATGTAAGACAAAAACTGTGAATCATTTTATTTTTAGTAAGTCAACAAATTAACTTGATTATGTGAACAGTGCACAGATACTAGTTTTCTGCATGAAAAAAATCAAAATTCTGCAAAAAATTCTGCAAATTCTGCAAGAAAAAAAGCAAATTCTGCAAGGAGAAAAGTCCAAATTCTGCAATCTTTTAAAACGATGAAAATTGACGTAGCAACGGAAACGGAAGTCAGCTACTTTCTAGGTAAGAACTGCGCGTCATTAGCGAACTCGCTTTAGCGAATTTAAACGTGATAGAATGTTGAATTTCACGGTGATATCGTACTTGTACTCAATAATGATTGATTGTTGGACATAAACAGACACTCTTCAAATACCCCGTAAAGGTAGGAGATCGTAAAATATGTAATTTCTGGAAATTCTGGTAATTCCGCGGGATTTTCATGAAAATTAGGGATTCTGCAAAAAATTGAAGTTTTGTCAAATTCCGTCCACGCCCCAGAATTACGGAATACTAGTATCTATGACAGTGACAAATGCATGGATAAAACAGTATATTAATCAATGAGTCAAATGCAATCAAACAAACATTTAAACCAGCATGTCCTGTTATCAATCAGTCAGTCAAGGAGAGCTATTGCAAAGCAAGGAAATGCACTAGAAGCAAATTCAAAGTGTAACCCTAGTTTATAACACTCCTAGATTAAAATGTAATGTTAAATACATCATATCTTATAATAACATGGAAATTAGAGTTACACTGTTGAAATATCAGGTAGAGGTAGGAGAAAAATAATGAATTCCAAATAAGGAATATTAGTTTTGATTTCATCTCTTATATAATAGGGGGTGTTACTATCAAATCCAACAGTGCATATGTGTGTTGTAAAAGTCCAAAAATAGATCATCACCAGATCAAACAAAAATGTCACACAGACATGTTTATTACCCAATGTATTCAGATGATTTATCTGTGATTTAAACATATCTAAAATAGAAATGAGGTTGGAATCATTTTGATGAAAAGCTTAATGGTGAGATTGCCTCCTAGAATCTCTTGTGATTTGAAGATTATCTCAGAATAAAAGTGTAAAAGATAACCCCAACCACTGCCTTTTAAACGATCAGCCCAAGCCCTGCCTATTAAAGGACAATCCCAAGTACTGCATATTAAAGGATCAATCCAAGCCCTGCCTATTAAAGGATCATCCCAAGCCCTGCATATTAAAGGATCATTCCAAACACTGCATATTAAAGGATCATTCCAAGCACTGCCTATTAAAGGATCATCCCAAGCCCTGCCTATTAAAGGATCATTCGAAGTGCTGCCTCTTAAAGGATCATCCCAAGCCCTGCATATTAAAGGATCATCCCAAGCCCTGCCTATTAAAGGATCATCCCAAGCCCTGCCTATTAAAGGATCATCCCAAGCCCTGCATATTAAAGGATCATTCCAAGCGCTGCCTATTAAAGGATCATTCCAAGCCCTGCATATTAAAGGATCATTCCAAGCCCTGCATATTAAAGGATCATTCCAAGCCCTGCATATTAAAGGCTCATTCCAAGCGCTGCCTATTAAAGGATCACCCAAAGCCCTGCATAATAAAGGATCATTCATAGTGCTGACTCTTAAAAGATCATCCCAAGCCCTGCATACTAAAGGATCATTCCAAGCGCTGCCTATTAAAGGATCATCCCAAGTCCCATCTCTTTAAAGATCATCCCAAGCCCTGATTATCAACGGATCATCCCAGGTCCCAACTATTAAAGGATCATTCCTACCCCCACCTATTGAACAATTACGCTTAATTTTACACCAACATTTGCCCTGTTGGCTAATCAAAATTCTTTTTTTTTTAAATCTTTTTTTCAGCTAAGACATCAATGATTGTGAAACAGTTGTATCAAATCAATATATCCTGAGATACTCTTCTGTAATGTGGAAGATAAGGAAACCTTGCATACACAAGGAAGCAATTGCATACTCTAAGAAGTAAAGCAAAATTCTATGGTTTTTCACATATTAAAGCAGTTTTAACTTAATCTATCGCAACAAAGCATATATTAGGAAGCGATGTTTGAATGTTTAATAAATCTTATACTAAATTATTACATATTCAACTTTATTCTGTAACAAACATGTGTAATTAATATAAAAAAATAAATGTGCATAAAGGGTAAAGCACACATACTGTAAAGTACATGTGTTTATTGAAGCACACATACTGTACGTTTCATGTGTTTATTAAAGCACACATACTATACGTTTCATGTGTTTATTAAAGCACACATACTGTACATTTCATGTGCTTATTGAAGCACACATACTGTACGTTTCATGTGTTCACTAAAGCACACATACTGTTCGTTTCATGTGTTTATTTAAGCACACATACTGTATGTTTCATGTGTTCATTAAAACACACATACTGTACTTTTCATGTGTTTATTAAAGCACACATACTGTATGTTTCGTGTGTTTATTATTAAAGCACACATACTGTACGTTTCATGTGTTTATTAAAGCACACATACTGTACGTTTCATGTGTTTATTGAAGCACACATACTGTATGTTTCATGTGTTCATTAAAACACACATACTGTACTTTTCATGTGTTTATTAAAGCACACATACTGTACGTTTTGTGTGTTTATTATTAAAGCACACATACTGTACGTTTCATGTGTTTATTAAAGCACACATACTGTCATTTACATGTGTTTACATGTATCAAAGCACACATACTACATGTCTAAGGTACATGTGTTTATTGAAGCACAAATACTGGACACATGTTTATTAAACACCATGTACAGTAGATAACTTTGAAATGTGCCCAGACTTCTCTAGTCTCTCATTTTAAATAAAATGCTGGTGATGAAACTGAATTCCCACAGCAATGTGCATCCAAAATGCAAGGTATGTAATGATATGATGTCATGTGGTGAAAAATGGCGAGTAATAAATAAAATGAATTTGTAGATGTGTGATCATGTGTCGTGATCAGTGTCTAACAAGTAAATAGATGCATACTGAATAGCAAAATGTGCATGCTTGCAAAAGAAATTATATTCAAAGAAAAATATTAAAAGATAAGAGACAAATATGTGGTAATGGTATGAAATAATTAGAAGATATTAAAGGTTACAACTATCAAAAGCAAGTATAACTTGAATGCCCTTTACCAGTGTGGATAGGTTATAAATATGCCCCTTCATATTTGCTACTATGGTGCAACATTTGCAACTATTGTGTAATCCTTACCACTGAACTGCAATGTTTATCAATGCAGTGCAATGATATAAAGATATCTCAATGATATAAAGATAACTCCTTATATGGAAATAAAAAGCCTTCAGCTGTAATGGTTTCCTCAATTTCCCCTGCTCTACTCAAGTTACATTCAAACACGTTAAGAGCGACATTCATGACGTGCAGCTGTTAAATAAGTGGAAATGAAAAAAGCCATGGTTGTGTAACTAAAAATGAATGCTTATGAAATATAAACAACGTGAATGGAAAAAATGTATTTGGTATACTCACGAGAGGGAATCTTCTTAAATACTGATTGTTCAAAGAAATTTTGAAATCTTTGTGCATAAAAATTTGGCCTGTGTACTGAAATGGTATCCTGAAAAAAAGAAAATATCACATCATAAGTAATTAATGAAGTATTGAAATTCTAAATAAATGAATTATTTTAATATACATGTACTTATCATGATTCAAATCCAATGTTGGCACATGTGATCCTGAGATCTAGTTCGTACTATATTACATATACAGAACAAAAAAAAGAAGAGTCCTACCCCGTCATGGACCATGGCTTTCAATGCATGCTCTAGCTTTTTCTTGGCCCTGTAGCTCTGTAGAATATCAATAAGTCCCATATATAGAAGTAACCTCTCTCCCCGACTGTTCCTTGCTGGAATACCACCCGGCCTGCAATAACCATGTAATGTTTACCAAACAGCTTTTAAAATTACTGTTTATGTTGAAGTATTATTAACAATGATTGTGAAGACATCTTATGGAGTGCATAATTATTTCGTAACATTCTTGCTCAAATGCCTTTTATAATTTCAGTTGTTCCAAGGTTTGGATTCATTTTGGTTTTCTAATGAACAGGACCCTGTTGACAAGGTTTTTGCAGAAAATGAGAACAGTGTATTTAACTTTAAGATGATCAAGTTGGTGAACTTACGGTACATCAGCATCCTCTAGTTCTACTGGTTCAGATTCTGCTTGTATAGACTCCATCGCTGTAGAGAATGCTGCTAAACGTGTCTTCATTGACTTATTACGCTGCAGATTTGTAGCTGAAGAAAAATATTTAATCAATGTTTCAAACAAATAATAAAAATCATTTGGTTCAAGCACAAGTAAGTATAATTTTTGCTTAAAGAATATTGTTGGACATTAACTTTTAATTTTCTGTTTTTTTTTTGTCTTTCCATTGCTCACTTGAATTTGCTATCATTGCTATCATTGAAAAATGTTCAAAATATCCAATTTCTGAAATTAATATTTCCATCTGCTATAATTTGAGTCATTTCTATGGGCGTAGCTACATATACGCAGAATACCCAGTCACGTACTATTGAGAGTAGTCTAAAGACCAAAGGTGTAAATTGAAATTAATCATAGTTTGATCCTAGAATCACTCAGAACGTGCCAAATAAGCCCAAAGATTCAAATTTTTTTAAAATAAATCATATATTTTGGCCCTAGAATAGCTCAGAACGTGCCAAATACTAGTAAGTCTAAAAATCCTTAATTTTCCGGGGGAGCATCCCTAAGTCACAGATACAGTATCAATACAATACATCTATACAAGAAAATTCAAGGAGATTCCACGATAATGTGGGAAAGTCAATATTCCAAAGTTAGAAGGTTACTGTTTGTTTGTTTGCATACAGTGTGTAGCTAGTAGGACTTTCATACTATGAACTCACTTTTTATAGCACCTGGGTTTTCTGAAGAATTAGAGTTTGCTCCGGCAGAGTTAGGTTTCCCGGGTGAGGATATTTCCGGAGATGATTTTTCTTGAAATGACTTGTCTATATTGTGTACTCCCAGTAAAAGACTGTAGTCCATAATTTTAAAACTTTCTAACACCTGAAAACAAAACAAAAAAACATGATTACACTTCAAAATTAACATTACATAATAATCAATTCATAAATTCATGATATCTTGCAATACAAATAGCAGTTCTCAAAGTATTTGAAATTTCATAAACATCTTTCAATTTGATACAAGATTTATTAGTACAATACTATTATCAAGATGAAAGAATATGCAGAACAACCTTGAATAAATCAATGAGAGTAAAAATACATCTCTATTTCTAAATTGAGTTGATAGGAAAGTTACAAATGATCAATCCATCTAATTGGATCTCGAAATAGGGATTTACAATATATCGATATGAGTTGATCTTCCCATATACTGTAGTTCTGCAAATATTTCACGACTTTCCTCTCATGAAGATTGTTTGATAATCCTGGTATGTATTTGGAATAAACTATCACACAAGTTCACTATTCCTTACTTATTTCACTATTTCTCTTAAATTCCACAGGGGTCCCAATGATCAATTTTCTACTTAAAAAGTGGGAATGTAATTTACAGCAGGTCATCGCAACCTTTGATAGTGTTTGTCAAATGTCAATCTCAGATGAAGAGTAATCTTTCCTGTAATATTTTGGTTTTACTTTTAAGTAAATATCTTAGTTGTGATCATTCTCTTATTACACTGGATTGCTTGGACTCCCATGATTTATACTATTGAATATTAACAATAAGGAACTTATAAGGAATATGTGACCATGTTGTCTCCAATCAACAGAGATTGTGCTATTTCAAATGTCTTCTGAACTTTTCATTTATATATCAACAGAATCACTGTATATGGTTTTGTCCCTCAACAACAGGGAAAGTTCATTACCTTGATGGATAAATCTGATTTCAACTTTACACCGTTGGTCAATATAGGGTTTAATAGGATCATAATTGTTTTACTATAAATCTAGCTGAAATACAGTGAACTTACCCTACAATCTCTGGCAATAGTCTTCATTAAAGCTACATATGTGTCTTGCTCTAGTAATATGCCTTCCTGGTGTAACTCCATATAATCAAGGTCTTTCCAGGTTGGACAGCTTTTTGCTCTTTCTGATTTGGACGCTTTTCGTTTATATGTACTGCCTTTTAAATCATATTTTTCATGTAGTTTTACAGTCGTTGGCAGCAAATTGTTCATTACAATAAACCGAATATTTTTTCCACCACACTGGAAGGTAAAATATCTTTGTGTTAATATCATGTTCTAATCAGAATAAATCGTCAAACTTGGAAACAGAAGTATATTATTTAACCTTTTATTTACATTTATAACTAAAACTAATAATGTTATAAATTATATTATATTATATTAATACATGTAAATTATCGCAAACAGATTTGAATCCTTTTCCTTAAATGAAATCCTCATATACGACTTAACTTTCAACAAAAGACAAAATCAACTTATAAACATTCCCTATGTATAAACTGTCCCTCTAACAAACTTGAAGTCATTTCTATGCCATATCATTACCATGACAATGTTCATTTACTGGTTACCTGGTAACAATATAAACCATAGAACTTTGGAAGTAGCGTCCTCGGATTCTGATTCAAATTCTGAAAATAAAATTGGAAATTATGAATATGAATAATAATAAATAATAATAATATAAACAATAAATTTTCTTATTTCAAGGTCACTATATAAAATACTTACATGCAATATGAACTTCTACAAAATTACTTGACACTGAGCTGTAATCTAAAAGTTGTCATTTAGATAATTAAGGCATTTCTAGAGATTGCTTGTTTGACCGAGATGTTGTTTCACTGATAAAGAAGTAAATGTATGTCCATAGGCTATAAATCATTACACTTAGCGCTTGAATCTATTAAATATACACTAAGCATGCTAATCACAGAGTTTGTCTTTCTCAGCACTGCCTAATGTCTATTAAACTGTATTTATGACTAAGGTTTGAATAAGAAACATAGTCATTTGGAATGATTTGGAATACTTGTTCGTGATTTTTATAAGTTATATCGCTTTCTCTAGCACTTTATTTGGTCTTGTAGTAAATGCACTGAAGGAAGTGATTTCTTCATGGTAAAAAACATCATACAATCTCAACATGAGGGCATGTAATCTTAAAGAGCGACATGGGGTATAAATAGGAGGCAGACTAATGGAACAGCCAAAATAACTGTATTTTTGATATTTTGTGTGGATGTAACCTGATATTTTAATGGGAGTTGCTAGCAACTTTAAAACCGGCCTTAACTGTAAATCTACCTTCAAATCGATCTACTTTTATTGAAAATGAGGTACTGAATGTGCTTAATATGGGATATGAGGTGTGTTGTTTATGGAAATGAGGTAACATGTGTGCTATATGGGAAATGAAGGTATTGATACATGGATAATGAGGTAATTGATAATGAGGTAATTGAGAAATGAGGTAATATACATTTGTGATACATGTAACGATGTTCTTTATGTTGCATATATGGAAACAAGGTAATATATGTGTTATACATCGCAATTAATTTTTCTGTTTCTAGACTTCTACAGTTAATTTGTCACAAACTTATCATTTTTCATGACGATTCTAATCAGCCACAGGTGTTATCACACCTAATAAAACAGACTAAACTAGAAGATTTGTGAGAGGTAAACATTTAGTGGCATTTTCATAGGACTTGTTTTGCTTGACATTTTAGCATGCTACATTTTAAACTAAGGTTATTGAACTTTACTTTCTGCAGCATTTTTGAGGACCTCTGGGAAATTATAGTTCAGTGACATTGTAAGAGGATGTGTTGAACTTGACATTCTTTCACTTCACATTTCTTGTAAGAACTTTCTTAGAAAAAGCGATTTCTCTGGCACATCAACAGAACTGATAATTATGTTTAATAAACAACTATAACTCAAGGTGCCAAGTTATTCAAATGTTATACCTACTGGATAAAATGGATTATAGACCAGATGCCATTTCATTTTCCAATATGTAACAAAATGGTGGCCATATCGATATCTTCCTGTAGATGGTCACATTGTACAAGATTTCAGCAACAGCAACTGAGCTTTCCACCAACTTAATTACAGTGTACAGTCTAATGTGTTATTTTCACACCTTATCAGATTATTGCTTAAAAAATTCCCTGATACAATTTAATGAAAAACATAAATGAATTCTGTGGCCGACCTACCATATAATATCCTGGTAATAATTTTTGCAAAAACTCTGCTTCTTTATGTTGAACTGTTTTTATAATGAACTCATCATCATTTGTTATATAGAATATGCTCCCACTGGCCCCTGGGTTTGATAGTTCTCTCAGAGGCTCATCACACAGGGACACCTACAACAATGAGGTGAATTCTTTATGAAACAATGAGGTAAATTAGTTCTATAACAATGAGGTTAATTATCTATTAAACAAGAAGGTAGATTCTTTGAGACAAAATGAGGTGATTTATTCATAAAACAATGAGGTAAATTTAATTTTAGGCACCATCAATCAAAGACTTCTAAACAATGAAGTACAAAGTTTAACCAGAACAACGGCAACGCCAAAGCGTAGCGAATCCCATCGAACAGAAATGGCTGGCATTTTTACAAACGAATAGCAAATATCATAAAACAACACACCAGAAAGGCCACCATTTTCAAAATGGTTGCTCACTAGCCAAGTTGTCATCAGAAGAAATAATATACTTTTAAGTAGCCACCTCTAAAATTTTGGAAAAATCGCACACGTACTTGTAAAATAACACACATAAAAATGGTGGCCATTTTTCAAAATGGCCGAGTACTCCCCAAAGTTTTATTAGACAATGTGCCATGCTTAAAGTATTCACATATCAAATATGAACAAAATCGCTCCACTACTTTTCGAGTTATAGTAAAATATGTTAAAATGGCGGCCATTTTTCAAAATGGCCACCTTCTACCAAAAGTGTCATTAGAAATAGACAGTGTGCCATGCTTATAGTATTCACATACCAAATATGAACAAAATTGCTCCACTACTTTTTGAGTTATAGTAAAATACGTTAGAATGGCAGCCATTTTTCAAAATTTTTTTCAAAATGGCTGCCTTCTTCCAAAAGTGTCATTAAGGACAGTGTGCCATGCTTATAGTATTCACATACCAAATATGAACAAAATCGCTCCACTACTTTTCGAGTTATAGTAAAATATGTTAAAATGGTGGCCATTTTTCAATTTTTTTTCAAAATGGCCGCCTTCTACCAAAAGTGTCATAGGACAGTGTGCCATGCTTATAGTATTCACATACCAAATATGAACAAAATCGCTCCACTACTTTTCGAGTTATAGTAAAATACGTTAAAATAGCGGCCATTTTTCAAAATGGCCACCTTCTACCAAAAGTGTTTTTAGACAGTGTGCAATGCTTATAGAATTCACATACCAGATATGAACAAAATCGCTCCACTATTTTTTGAGTTACAGCAAAAATCGTAAAATGACGAGTAAAGGCCGCCATTTTTCAAGATGGCTGCCATGTGCTTCTTTAATATCTACATTTGTAGCATTATTAATGTCCTTTATAATTTTTTTACATTTAAAACATATTGCTATTACAGTTTTACATATTACACCTAAATTACTGTAAAATCGGCACTAAAATGGCCGCCATTTTGAAATGAGTGGCCATTTTGAAAATCGGCTTTCGAGCAGAACTTCTAAGCCCATAGGGTATATGTGTACAAAATATGAACAAAATCGGGCCAACGGTATTTGAGTTATTGCCCGGACGGACGGACGGACGTATGTACGGACGGACGGACGTACGTACGGATGGACGGACGGACGTACGTACGTACGGACGGACGGACGGACGGACGGAGGCGTTCCCTATATCCCTCCGAACTTCGTTCGATGGGATAATAAAACAATGAGGTAGATTAAAGGCACTATCAATCAAAACGATATGATACATTATTTTTCACAAATTATAAACAAAGGTAAGTTTCATAAAACAATGAGGTAGATTTAATTATTTTAGGGTGCTATCAATCAGACTCCAAAACAATGAGGTACATTATTCTTCAAAAAAAGTTAGTGATATAATTTCTAAATACAATAATATTCACATACATGTATGTATACTTCAATCAGTAACACACAAGGATTTTGGAATACGCTATCAATCCCCAAAAATACACTGTTTAGTCTATCCAAGTGATAACGATGGAAAAATATTTTCAACTCACAAGAAAATCATCAGGTTGTATGCCGAAGAGCTCTCTAAAATATCTGAATGCTATTGGTGCGTATGTCTTGAAGCGAAAGTCGCTGTAATGATGGGCGGGGGTCAAGTTACTGCCTTCACTAGAAAGAAGCGAACATACATCCAATACAGTATCCATTTAAGAGATTATGTTTACATGAAATATGTAGAGGAAGATGACTGTTCTTAGCTGATGAACAAAATTAGTAGTAAGCATAGAAGAGCATTGGATATCTAACAAAGTATCCATTTTAGAGATTGTTTTATGCTGAAATATGAAAAGCAAAAAAATTGTTTTTAGCTGATAAACTAGCTTTCCTTGCAAGACTGATTTCGGCATGTTCAGGTCAGCAATGTTGTTATACTTCAATAAAAAATTATTTTTCTTATGCTGATATATTTCTAGTTAACTCTATAATCTTAACGTATATGCAACCAGGCACAGAACTTCATGTATGAAATACATGTATGTAAGCAAACACGAGACCTACCCTGGGAATATGACACTGTCTACCACATAGAAATCTTGCATTAGAACATCCCTCTCTGGTTTAGATGTAAGGCTTCCTATGCTTTGTCCAATGCCCAATTGTATGGCTGCCATCAACTCTGAGGTAGGTTTCTATAACAACAAAAAGTAACAACTTTACAGCTGCCATTAACTCTGAGATCAGTTTAAAATGAAAACAAACATCTGCATTGCAACCATCAGTTTTGAGGTAGGTTTCTATGGCAACAAACAATATCTGCATCACAACCATCAGCTCTGAGGTAGGTCTCTATAGCAACAAACAATATCTGCATCACAACCATCAGCTCTGAGATAAGTTTCTATGGCAACAAACAACATATCCATCATAACTATCAGCTTTGAGGTAGGTCTCTATAGTAACCAGCAAAATCTGCTCCAAGGAATAACAAACATTGGTTTCTGAAATGAAAATTGATTTACTCCTGGGGTTTAAGGTTAGTAAGGTCATAGGGGTGACAGCGCTATACTAGAAGAACATCAATCACTATATTAGTTTTAATGATGAAAGGGTTGAACAGTCTACAAGTATCTTTATCCTATATCAGCAATTATTTTAAAATTGAATGATTGAGAATCTTGGGTGATTTTGAGTACCAATTTACAAATGCATACCACAGTACAAATATAGAGGGAATTTCAATTACGAAATAAATGGACACACAGATATCCCTTTCGTAACATTTAGCATTAAGCATCATTTCAATCAGACACAATTTTCAGTTAGACCCCAAGGGTTTCAGATAATTTTCTCCAGGACATTAAATGTTGCAGCTAATATATCATTCCTTGGTAAAAGTTGAGATGATGTAGCCTTCATATTACATTTTCTGCACCAACCAGTAACTTCTTCATATCTCTTACAAAGCTTGGTTGTGATGAAGTTGTGGGAGTTCATACTTTTGATTAGTTCATGTAATCATGCTCCCTGATCTGATTATGGATCTGATTAAGGATCATGACCTAAATGGAATTTTGATTAAGTATCAATTCAAGGACAAGTTTCCATGCAATTAACAAAAATCAATGAACATATTTTTGAGAATGTAAGAGTTTCATAATGCACATAAAGGATGACCAAAGGGAGAGTGGTTGAAAAGAAAGCATTTACAGGAATAGACCTTATGACACAAAAACAGACATCTCATTCAGGCCATGTTATGAATTTCATCTAATACTCCTAATAAAACCAATAGCAGTTTCTTTCCTCTATAGACTATATTACATTATCAAAACTGGGTTGCATTGTCTTAAATGCATTGTTGACCATCCAGATGCTTCTTTACAGAAAATAAGTAATGCATTTCTAATCTACCATGATCAATCCAGGATGACAGATGCATGTATATATCATTACAGACCAAATTGAAAGCATTTGTCTTCTACATCCCCTAAATGATTTATGTCTCATTGGCAATATTCACGTTTCTTTATTCTTGTTCTGTTAATTGCAAAGAGAAAAAGAAATTAGATTTTTCAATATGATTTCCTCAAGAAATTGTTTCTGGAATCATTGGGTCTGGGTGACAGAAAAGGTTACTGTGATTTTGGAATAAAGTGACTGGATGCTATTCTCTGTTCTCTGCTATTGCTTCGTAATTGACAAGCATAATGTTCATGAGTTGATATAACACCAGCCAATCAACTTGTAGGATATAGGATCATATGAACAAACATGTGCAAATGTCAGCAAGTTCATCATTATCCTGCGCATGCTCGCGTCACATTTTTAAATCTAAATTGCAATTATTCCCATTTGTTTCACTTTAATTCTTAACTAATGTTTCCCAAACTTATGAGAATAATCAGCAAATGACAAGAGAGGTTTTACACCACAGGTTATAGTGAAACATATCAACCGCATCTCGTTTTAATTGAACTGCTACGCATAAATCTGGTGAATGCATAAGGATTTTAGATACGTTGAGCTAAAAACGTTTTTTCTATTATTTTCAATTTACTTATACGTCTTCGTAGCAAAGGAGAGGAAATCATTTGAGATGAAATTTGATGACAAGTAACTCCAATTTATTAATGGTATCATAAAATGTTATACTTGCAATATTGGCATCTCAGAACTTCTCCTCTGTAGCAAATTTAAGTTCCTGCTTGACATTACATAATATATGCACAAAATAGACTGAACGGAAAGGTGTCAGAAACAAATAAATTTGAAATTTGAGTGATAAAGCTTCAGGGATATGTTATATTATATCAGAGTAACATCCTGATATATAACCTAATGTGACTAAACACTTTAGATCAGAAAATGACTTCAATTCAAAAAATGAAATAAGTCACTGCAAAATATAACCACCCGCCATTTGTTACAGATGCATGTTACAAACACCGACTGTCAAACACCAACAACTACCATTACATCTACATGTACTTCAGGTGGTGACATTATCTAAATTCTGAATTGATCAAGGTGTTCCCTCAATATGAAATCCCTCATACTGAAAAACATTTGTGGAAATATTATCCCAAAAATTTCCATCTAACTTATTACAGATAGGGAGTAAATCTTAAAATCTCCCAATAAATGGTTATCAAAGCCACCAATATTTATCTCTATTGAGCGAACAGATTCGAATCTAAAACTGCAGGACAGTAATTTGTACTCTGCAGACTTGACATATCAGGAAATCAAGCAATATAAAAGATAATTTTGAGATTCCAGATAGAGCCCATAAACCTGAACAACCAGAACAAAAAGTGTAACATTGTTGAAGCAAAAATAGCAGATAAAATAAAAGTAAAAATCAATTGAATCAATAAATGGATGGAACATGTGTAATAATGTTCTCCAGATTCTCCTAAATTACAAAAATCAGAAATTTTCTTGAATTTTTATTGAAATAAAGCAGTAACTAATATGTAAACTTTTGCAGAGTGCGGCTATAAGAGTTTTTGATTTCGCGGAACATGAAGGACAGCTTTAATAGAATAGTCAATAAACTAATTTTTGTTCTTGAGCAATTATTAAGTTGGTATAAACATGGTTCATACTAAAATTATAATCATGCATTATCACGGGGTACCATCGAATAATTTTGGCAACGTACCGGAGAACGACATTTTACTAAGAAATTTCAATAATTTAGCACAATATATTTTTTAACTAGAGTTCTACTTTGATTTTCACAAAAGTAAGTATTCCATGCAATGGCTATTTCATTCATGAGTTTGTAGGAATTCTGTTGGAACCCAGTTCTGATCAAGTACGAAGTTATTGAAATCGGCGTAGTTGGACTTTACTCCGAAAGATGGTTTTTCGATTATAACTTTTTACAACATTTAAGTATAGACTTTTGAAAAAAGTACAGAATAGTCCTTATACTATTGAATAATTCTGTTATTTCTGATTCACACGACTCTGATTTGTTTAATTAAAAAAAAGTTTTAAATATATTACTTAGGAACGTAACCGAAGCTGGGAACGTAACCGGAGCAGATCAGTTGAATTATATAATTTAAAAAAATAAAATATATGATTTAAAGCATATACCAGGTCGTTCAATAAGTTCACGGAAAAATGCTCTCATTTCAAAGATTCTTGATATTTTCCCATAAAATTTTCACACAATGTGCAAAAAATACTTTCTGATTGATTCCTAAGATATTAGCATCTCAAATTTGATTGGTCAAAGATAAGGGTTACTATGGTAACTTGACATTTGGGTAGGCGGGGCACTTTTACGCCACACATTTTACCATTACAAATATATATCCATATGTGCAAATGAAGGGTCCCTATTTTTTATTTCTTCTTATTTAAATTACAAATGTTCTGAGGGAAAATTGATGTTCATTGTTATTAGGAACATTTCTGAAATCGTGCTAGTCAATGCTGTACCAGTGGACCAGAAAATCACCAAAGAGTAATGCTATAGAAAGTTGATTAAAACTTAACCATCCAGCCAAACTTTAAATTTAAATTAAAACTTTAAATTTTTCCATCGGGATAATGCAGCCAATCACACTGCTCATATTGTGCAGGGAACCATCACAAATAATTGGCAAAATAGATGGCAAAGCTGCCCCAAGTTACATAATCTCCAGATGAGACAATCCTTGATTTTATTGTTTTCACAAGGATGAGGATCAGCTAAGAGGTGCACTTTATGGAACAATGAAACAACTTTCGACTGCAGTCAAGATTGCCTTTTAAACAAGTTTTCCAGATGGCTTCAGAGCACTGTATCGTCAATGGGTTGAATGCAAGCGACTGTGCATTAAACATGAGGGACAATATTACTGAAACCTTATGGGACAATAGTTGTAATTATTACATTAAGTAATATCATGTACATTTAGAAAAAGGAGAAGAAATTCATGTGATATACTCATAAACTGCCTACTTTTCTGTTGTTTTTCTGATGAATAATGTGACGTAAAAAGTGCCCCGCCTACCCAAAAGTCAAGTTACCATAGTAACCCTTATTTTTTACCAATCAAATAAGGGATGCTGATATTTTAATAATCAATCAGAAAGTATTTTTTATTCATTGTGTGAAAATTTCATGAGAATATATCAAAAATCTTTGAAATGAGAGCATTTTTCCGTGAACTTATTGAACAACCTGGTATATTACTAAATACGCATTCGAACAATCCTGTATGTTTTTAAATTAGTATATGTGCTTTAAATCATATATTTTAATTTTTTTGATTAAATAATTCAACTGATCTGCTCCGGTTACGTTCCCAGCTCCGGTTACGTTCCTAAGTAATATTTTTAAAACTTTTTTTTTAATTAAACAAATCAGAGTCGTGTGAATCAGAAATAACAGAATTATTCAAAAGTATAAGGACTATTCTGTACTTTTTTCAAAAGTCTATACTTAAATGTTGTGAAAAGTTATAATCGAAAAACCATCTTTCGGAGTAAAGTCCGTCTGCGCCGATTTCAATAACTTCGTACTTGATCAGAACGGGGTTCCAACAGAATTCCTACAAACTCATGAATGAAATAGTTATTGCATGGAATACTTACTTTTGTCAAAATCAAAATAGAACTCTAGTTAAAAAATATATTGTGCTAAAGTATTGCCATTTCTTAGTAAAATGTCGTTCTCCGGTACGTTGCC